GGTTCAAGCAGTTCTCCTTCTTCAGAGCCTCCTACTAGCTGGGATCACAGACACCTGTCACCACGCCTGGCTAGTTTTTGTATTTTTAGTAGAAATGGGGTTTCACCATGTTGGCCAGGCTGGTCTGGAACTCCTGACCTCAGGTGATCCACCCACTTCAGCCTCCCAAAGTGCTGGGATTACAGGCATGAGCCACTGTGCCCCGCCCCGTGAGACTCTTCAAGGTGGAGTATTTGTTCATTTTATAAAAAGGAGTACAGAGCTCTCAAACCACCCTAGGAAGCTCCAGTTATGCCTGGACTCTACTTTCCTCCTGACAAGTGGAAGTCTAATTTGGAGGCGCTGGTAGCTCAACCTGAGACTAGCCTAGGACTGTGCCCTTCCTGAGGTCCACAAAATCAGGAGCCAAGGGAGTCAGACAAAACTAGGTCAAGGTTGAGTCAGGAGTTGAGAACCAGCAGATACTCCCCAATACCAACTGAAGAGATGTGAAGTTAGGTATGAGGCGAGAAGACAGAAGATGAGGCTGAGGACAGTTTCTGAGGCACTGAATTATATACTCTGGAACATTATCAGTTACCTGTCGCCTCCCCAGTGGGCCGGGGGGAAGCTTCATGAGTGGGGAGCCTGTTCAGGCTCACTCTGAAATTGGGCTTCAGGTACTCTGAGAGATAGGTTTCCCTTTAGGGACTAGCATTTAAATCGTCCATACTCAGAAAATAAATACAATTAATCTTCATGAATATAGACTTGCAGACAAATTCCTTAACTAGGAAAACAGACCAGTTCCACGTTTCATTGCATTATTCCAAAAATTAGATTTGTTCATTCTTATATTCATCTTTGATTCTTCCTGCTCCCTCTTCCTTTCATGGTCCAAGAAATGATGCCAAATTTACGTCCTGGAAATTCCTCAAGGCCATGTCCTCCTGTCCATTTCTCCTGCCTCTGCTTCATTTCAGCTTTCCTCAACTCTCACCCATGCTATGTCCCTAACACATGGTTAGGGACACGCTGCAGGCAATGGTACCCTTCTACAATATACTCCATGATGCAGCCTGAGGGACCTTCATAAATACAAATATGACCATGTTTCTCCCCAGCTTCAAATCCTTTTGTGTTTTCCCATAGTCCACAAGGGAACGAAGAAACCCCACCAACAGAGTCCACATAGCCCTTCATGACATGGCCCTGTGGACACATCAGACGCTCTCTTGCAGTGCCTCATCCACACTATCTGAACCACTGCAGGCCTGGATACGTCATGGTTTTCATGGTGCTATCTTGTGCCTCTTTGCACCTGCATGCACTGTGTTTCCTACATGGGATATATCTGTGTTTACAACCAAACTCCCAGGGGCCAAATTATATCCTTTGTAAAGGTCTTCAAGCCACCAGACATTTGCTGGAAGTTTCACGGAGGAGACAAGCATTTTTCATCATTTAATTTGTTTTGCTGGTCAAAGAGGAAAAGGAGTGGATGGACCAAGTGGGGCCCAAAGTCTGGATCTAGTTCTGACCAGCAAGGAGACATTGATGCACAATGGGGAAGTGACCTTGGCATTTTCAACTGGCCGAGCAGGTAAGTTTGGGCACAGTTCAAATGTGAGTCTGTAGCCACTAGAGAGAGGGGTTTCAAAGTCATGGAGAAAAGATGGGGGTGAATCCTGCACCAAGACTTAGTGAGGAGAGTCCTTGGGAACAGTTACTTTTAAGATTCCACAGGGAAATCACTGAGCGAGTTTTACAAAACACTGTGACCTGGTTCCCTCCACCAGGAGATCTTGACTTAATTGGTTTGGGGTGCAGAGAGGAATGTGGATATTTAAAAGCAGAATTCCCAAACTGAAGAGCGCTGCGAAAGCTTCCTGCAGGAGACATTATTTGAACTAAATTTTGAAAGACAAGCTTGCATGCCAGGAACCCCATGTATACGAATAGAGGATATGAAGGAATGTAAATAATTTGCTATGACTCTAAAGAAAAGAAGGGAGAAATCAAGACGTTAAGAGGCTTACACTCCTTGCTCACATAGTTTGTAATTTATCTTTTTGGATAAGAGGATGTTATAAAGGATTTTAAACTGAAGTATAAAATAATTAGAATTGGAATGTTTACCTGAACTTCAGCATAGGCAATAGGTTGGCATGGATCAGAACTGTAGGTAGGAAAATTAATTGTTTAGGAGAGACATGAGATATGATGGAGGTAAGAGAGAGAGTATGGATGGGAGGAACACAAAAGTGATAGAAATAACAGGACTTTTGATCATTTAGTTAAAAGAAGTGGGGAGGGAAACACTCAGGTTTCGGAGAGATGTCCAGTAGTACACAGGTAACATCTACGGCTCGAGACAGGTTAGAGATTTTGAATAAGTTAAAAGTTGAAACATGAACCTGTGGATATAGTGGAGGTCATACAAGATCATATTATAGTGAAAAGAAGAGGGCTTAGAATGGCAGGAAAGGAATCAGGATACCAGGCAAAAGAGTCAGGAAAGAAGGGAAGGGTGCGCTGGACATCCTGGGAAGGTCAAAGAGGAAAGGACTAAATGTCGCCAACAAACAAAATCAAATAAGACCTGGGATGTATCTTTTGGCCAAGGCAATTAGAAGATGATTAGTATCCCTTTCAGGAGCAATTTCAGAGAATGTTTGGGTGGATGTCTAACTGCAGTGGAGTCAAAAGTCAATTAACGGTGAAAAAAGGACAACAGCCTGTGGGTACACTTTTTATGAAGAAATTGACTGTGAATGGAAAAATGAAAAAGCCGGGTGGTAGCTACACGGTATAAAAGGTAAAGAAAGCACGTTTGTTTTTAGTATGTGAGATACTGAGCATATTTATGTGCTAAGACTTTGCAAAATAGTAGAGAGATTAAGGATGTAGGAACGAAGGTTACTCATGCACTTATGTCCTGGGAAGAAGGAAGGAGGAGGTCTACTTCCTTCCTTAAAACAGAGGGTTAGGATACGCTAAATCTAGTCAAGGGGACAGCTGGCCACTCCTCCATGGTGGGAGTAGAGTGGAAACCCTGGTAGTATTGATGTTTCAGATTAAGACCTTCCCTTCACCACCATTTGCCTTGTATCCCAATCATGTTCAGTCCAAGATGTGTTAGGGCTGAGATTTTTGAAAGATTTCCCAGAGTAAGAACCCTCTGGAAAGTAGGGGTTTAATAGAAACCTGAAGTGGCAAAGACTACTTTTCAAAAGTGTTCTGTAAGGCTCTAAACTTGAGTGTCCATGTCTATCTCTGATTCCTGTTTAGCCTGCCCAGTTCCTCTCTGGAAGCAGAACAGCACAGACTTTGGGATCTGGGATAACTGGGTTTGAACCAAAACTTGGCTCTTTGAACCTCTACATAGACACTGAGGAGCGCTGTTTCGTCAAAAATAGGGTTGAGAGTAGCCTTCTTGTGCATTTGCTTTCAGCAAGATATTGCAAGGAATGCTTGCCACCAGATGGTATCACTGCAGTTTTACAAAACAAAAACCTAGGATGTTAAATAGCAGAACTTTTATAATACTTTGTAGTAAGCAGGAAAGCAGCCATCAGTCTTTTGAAAAATCCTGACTTTCTTGTTATCTCATACAAGTGTACGTATATATATACACTAAGTTCTAGGGTACATGTGTACAGCGTGCAGGTTTGTTACATAGGTATACATGTGCCATGTTGGTTTGCTGCACCCGTCAACTCATCATTTACAACAATTGTACTTTAAAAAAAGGAATTAATTACACATTTGCATTTTTTTTTTTCTTTTGTGAAAGGCTACTGTTCCCTCCTATGCTGACCTTTTCTGAGATAAGAGGCTGTCAGTAGTGGAATACCTAGCAAACGTTTTTGAAAAAAATACAATTGAATGCCTTTCAGTTAAATGTGCATCTTTTCCATGAATGAGAAATGAACTGCTTTTTGAAAGAGCCTGGGGTCATCATTTTGAGAACCCCTCCTGGGGTATTTTTCCATAATTGTAAGATTTTGTTGTTTAAAAATGTTAAAATTCTCATATAAGAAAACTTTAAAAATTTGGAAATGTAGGTTTCTAACCTTCATAAAAATCTTCCAAAAAGAATAGTTTCGGTGGGCTTCAAACTGTTGACATATAAAAACTAAATTATTATTTTTTTGAGACGGAGTCTCACTCTGTCTCCCAGGCTGGAGTGCAGTGGCGCGATCTCGGCTCACTGCAAGCTCCGCCTTCCGGGTTCACAGCATTCTCCTGCCTCAGCCTCCCCAGTAGCTGGGACTACAGGCGCCCGCCACCACGCCTGGCTAATTGTTTTGTATTTTTAGTAGAGACGGGGTTTCACCCTGTTAGCCAGGATGGTCTCGATCTCCTGACCTCATGATCCGCCCGTCTGGGCCTCCCAAAGTGCTGGGATTACAGGCGTGAGCCACCGCGCCAGGCCAAAAATCAAATTATTTTTAAAAACTGGTTTCAAGAGGATAGATTTTTACTCATTAGATTCCAATCAAATATCTTTGAGTGATTAGTATATGTACTGAAAATCAAATGTCAAGGTTTAGTAAGTACAACCAATGCTCTTTATTCCATTTAAATCAGTCCATTTCCTGAGACCTTTTCCCTCATGATTGCTGTCAATCCAAATTTAAATTTGTTTATATGTTTTATAGCATTTAGAATACATTAGTATTGAGCACATTATTACGTATAAATTCATAGCGATCCATTGGGGATGCGTGTGGAAACTTGTGTCGATGGGTGTCACGCCAAAACAGCTGGGAAACTGCCGACTTTAGCAACTTTAACCTCTGATTTTGCCTTTAGTTAATTTTCAAAGTCCTCACTTTGAGAGTGCTCTTGCACGCACACACCCGAAACACGGATACTGAACATACTAATCCAGAAAAACAAACCAATCTCCTGTTGAGCAAAGCCTTCCACAACCACCCTCCAAGGACCAGTCACTGGCCCTCTCTCCGGTGCCCGCAGACATCCACACAGGCCCAAAGAATCAGGGATTGCACAGGCCAGCGCAATCGAACGGTTCTGAGTCATCTGCCGGAAGCCTTGCCCTCAATCAAGGCGGACGTGAAGCATCTACAAAGGAGGAATAGTCGAAGCAGCAGCGGCGGCAGCAGCGGCAGGAGGTGGGGGCCTCTCCCAGGTACCAGGCGGGGCAGGCACGCAAGTGCCCAGGTTCCCGCGGCGGCCACCTCTTCCCTGGAGCGCGGGAGAGAAGCGGGAGAGAGGAAGGCCAAAGCAGGACTCAGAGCGAGGCAAAGGCGGGCAGGAAGTAGGGGAATGACGGTGGGAGGCGGCCGGGAAAGAGAGTCGCGGGGCTGTGGGGGTCGCCCTGGCACCAGCCGGGGTCCCGAGCCCCACCGAGAGACCCGGCCCAGGCAGAGGGCCGAGCCCAGAAAGCAGGAGCGCGCAGACCCTCCGTGACTCGGAAGCTGCCCCTGGAGAGGGAGCGTCTGTTTCTCGGCCTGCGATTTGCTGCCTGGTGGGAGCGGCGGGTGACGCGAGCGGTGGTTTTGGAAGCGCCGGAAGCTCGGGTGCGAGCCCGGGTAGGGCAACTGGGAGGAGCCGCGGCTGTGGAGGAGGCTCGGGGAGCGCTGGCGGCCGGGCCTGGAATTTCCGGGGCTCCTGGGGTAGATCGAGGAGGCGCCGAGTCCCTGCTCCCCTGGCACCCGCGCCTGCTTCTGTGCTTACAGCCTATTGGTTGCACCTTCTTCCCTCTCTGTCCCCTCCCTCCGTTCTTTCCATCCCTGCCTTCATTTTTCTGTATCTCTCATATTCCCTTCTTCATTGGCTGCTTCCTCTCAAACGGGATTTGGGGGGTGGGTGCTTCTTCACCTACGCCCCTCTCTGTCGCAGCCACCCACCGGCGTTACTTTAACCAATTCCTCACTTTCCAGACACTCTCAGTCCTCTGGCTGCTGCTCCACTCCTGAGACCTCCGCTTTCCAAACGGCCTCACCCAGGGCTGCTCTCCGGGCCCCTCCGGCTTCTCTGCCTCGGGCTCTGGGTAGACCGCGCCCTCTTCCCTGGGTCCCCTAGGAGGGGCAGACGCGTCTCCCCAGTTCTGCCAGCACATCCTGATGGCTGGGTCGAAGTCTCCCTTTCGCGCGCTGGCTCTCTCTCCGTCGCCCTCCTCTGTCTCTTCCTTTTACTACCTCCATATATTGGAAATGCCCCAGAAATAGGTGGATTTCTTCTCTTGTGCCTCCACTAGATGTTCTGCTTAGTTTCATCCATTTTCATGGTACCTCTCGGAATCGGGATGCTGGTGGCTCCAGGTCTCTGGCTCTAGACCTCCTACTCATCCCCACCCAGTCCCTGTGTTTACAAACATCCTTGGCTGTCTTTGTGACAGGTTTACCTGGTATGGTGTGTTCCCATTCCAGCCTGACTCCTCATATAAAATTCCGATGGTTCAAGACCCACCCTAAGTATGAATTTATAACAGCTAGGCGCCTCAGGACTTGACCCTCCTGCGCTGTATCCCTGTGTGAGCTGTCACTCTGTCTGGCAATTCCAGCCCCCACTTCTCTATTTCAGAGAATCCCCAGCAGTCCCTGGCCCATGGTGGTGGCCTACCCGCCAGCTCCCCAGCCTCTTTTCAGACCAAATACTGAGCCGGATCGTCTTTCTAAAGCCCCAATGCACTCATATGAGACGTTTGTTTAAAAACCATGCATGGCTTTCCAGACCATAATCTCAAGTTCAAACTCCTAAATGTGGCATAAGGGTCCATCCTGTCTCACTACCACGTGGCTCACAGGAAACCATGGAAACCCACCCCAGGGACACCGCACACAAACCATGCCCTTTGTGTTCCTGCCACATTCTTGGCACCTGCTAATTCCTCAGCCTATTATTTGCATCCCCCATTTCACCACCCATGGAATGCCTGCCTAGCTTTTTTTATTTTTTTGATATGTGGTTTTAATAAGTTTTATTACCTATGGAATAAATACAAAAGAACATTTAAAATGTGTATTAAATTATAAAGAACAGCAGTACAACCCATCACCCAGTTTAATAACTGGAATATTGTCATCGATGGAGGCCCTGCCTGTTTCCCTACTGATGACACCCTCCTCCCTCATCGCATCCGCTTCCCTCCCCTCTGTATCCCCACCTTCGTGAGTTTCATGGTAATAACGACGTTGCTTTTCTTGACAGTTTCACTACGTACACATGCATCAAGAACGATTTAGTTTAGCCTGGTTTTGAACTTTGTGTGTATGGAATAATACTGCATTACTCTGTGGCTTGCTCCTTTAATACATTATTTGTGGGAATTGCCCACGTCAAAAACTAGAAGAACTTATAGCTGTGGTTCTTTTAGTTTTTATTGGTCTGTATTCCATTATACTAATATACTACAATCCATTTATCCATTCTGTTTTTGATGGACATTTGGGTTGTTTCTTTTTTATTATCATTATACTTTAAGTTCTAGGGTATGAGCGCACAATGTACGGGTTTGATACATGGGTATACTTGAGCCATGTTGGTTTGCTGCACCCATCAGCTCGTCATTTATATTAGGTATTTCTCCTAATGCTATTTCTCCCCCACACCCCCCACCCACCCACCCCACAGGCACTGGTGTGTGATGTCCCTGCCCTGTGTCCAAGTGTTCTCATTGTTCATTTCCCACCTATGAGTGCTGTTTGCTTTTCTGTCTTTGTGATAATTTGCTGAGAATGATGGTTTCCAGCTCCATCCATGTCCCTGCAAAGGACACGAACTCATCGTTTTTTTATGGCCGCATACTTTTCCATGGTGTATATGTGCCACATTTTCTTAATCCAGTCTATCATTGATGGACATTTGGGTTGGTTCCAAGTCTTTGCTATTGTGAATAGTGCTGCAATAAATATACATGTGCATGTGTCTTTTTAGTAGCATGATTTATAATCCTTTGGGTATATACCCAGTAATGGGATGGCTGGATCAAATGGTATTTCTAGTTCTAGGTCCTTGAGGAATCGCCACACTGTCTTCCACAATCGTTGAACTAATTTACACTCCCACCAACAGTGTAAAAGCATTCCTATTTCTCCACATCCTCTCCAGCATCTGTTGTTTCCTGACTTTTTAATGATCACTATTCTAACTGGTGTGAGATGGTATCTCATTGTGGTTTTGATTTGCATTTCTCTGATGACCAGTGATGATGAGCATTTTTTTTTTCATGTGTCTGTTAGCTGCATAAATGTCTTCTTTTGAGAAGTATCTGTTCTTATCCTTTGCCCAGTTTTTGATGGGGTTGTTTTTTTCTTGTAAATTTGTTTGAGTTCTTTGTAGATTCTGGATATTAGCCCTTTGTCAGATGGGTAGATTGCAAAAATTTTCTCCCATTCTGTAGGTTGCCTGTTCACTCTGATGGTAGTTTCTTTTGCTTTGAAGAAGCTGTTTAGTTTAATTAGATCCCATTTGTCTATTTTGACTTTTTTTTTTTTTTTTTGGCATTGCTTTTGGTGTTTTAGTCATAAAGTCCTTGCCCATGCCTATGTCCTGAATGGTATTGCCTAGGTTTTCTTCTAGGGTTTTTATGGTTTTAGGTCTAACATTTAAATCTTCAATCCATCTTGAATTAATTTTTCTATAAGATGTAAGGAAGAGATCCAGTTTCAGCTTTCTACATATGCCAATTTTCCCAGCACCATTTATTAAATAGGGAATCCTTTCCCCATTTCTTGTTTTTGTCAAGTTTGCCAAAGATCCGATGGTTGTAGATGTGTGGTGTTATTTCTGAGGCCTCTGTTCTGTTCCGTTGGTCTATATCTCCGTTTTGGTACCAGTACCATGCTGTTTTGGTTACTGTAGCCTTGTAGTATAGTTTGAAGTCAGGTAGTGTGATGCCTCCAAATTTGTTCTTTTAGCTTAGGATTGTCTTGGCAATGTGAGCTCTTTTTTGGTTCCATATGAACTTTAAAGTAGTTTTTTCCAATTCTGTGAAGAAAGTCATTGGTAGCTTGATGGGGATGGCATTGAATCTATAAATTAGCTTGGCCTGCTAAGCTTTTAAAGCCAGCTTCAGTCAGCTTCTCTGGAACGTCTTTCCAGGATTCTATAGAGGTGGTTTTCTTTTTGTTTTTTTTCTTTTCTGAGGACTTCCTTAGCACTTTGAAAATTATCCTGTTATAGAGCACCTGACTGGCTTGAAACTACGCATTTCTGTATGTGTGTCTTCTTTAGGGTGTAAGCTTCTGGTAAGGGATTATGGCATTTGTTTTTCATTGCCTCCTCCCAAAACAGGTAATGAACATTCTACATAAATGCTCTTTGGAGCATTTATAAACTCACTTTTGGATGTTGTATGGGGAGGGGGAGTGGAGGAGGGAGTTCATAGGTATTTGGGGCTCCCAGGAGGAGAACAGTATCATGTACTTGGAAACATAAGGCTTGCTTTTGAGGCTGACTCTCACTTTTTCTATGAGTCCCACAGACAGTATTTAATTGCCTCTGTCCTTGTTTGTTCGCCTGTAAAGGAAAAACTAGTTTAATGCCAATTTATTTGGTTGGCTGGAAATAAAAACTTCTGATTCCTGTTTTTTTATATCATAATCTAATTGTGGCATTGACATCTAAAGTATTATTTTGTATTAAAATTAATTGCTTTTTAGATATATTGGGTAAAATCCATTTTGTTTAAACTTCCAATCCTTCTAAAAGCCATAATGTCCAAATGAGATTTGAGAGGAAGACGGGGGGAAGAGTCATTCTGTTACCTGGTTTTCTCCCCTGCCTGACTTCTGACCTGAGCAGAGGCCAAGGGGGTACACTTGTATGTGAGTGTGTGCATGTGTATTGTGGCTGAAGGGTAGATAGTGATGGGAAATACCACATACTGACCAGCACCTGAGTGTTGAAAAGGAATGGAAGTGGGGACATGAGATGAAGGAAGAGGAAAGATGGAAGAAATCAGAAGTAGCGGTTTGCAACTAAGAGCAGTTAAAATGTAAAGATGAGATTGATGCAATAGTTCAGTTCATTCAGAACTATTGAAACTATTGATTCAGTAGTTCAGACAGGATGATGAAACACACCTACACACACATACACCAACCTAAGTTCATGCTTGCTTCACCCTGAGTCCAAAGCTCTTATGCTAAGGTTGGATCAAATCCAAATTTATTTGTGTCTCTGTCTTACCCAGTTTACCTAATTCTCTCCATCTTTAAGTTTGTTTGGTGCCACCTTCTGGTAGGCCCAGTTCTATGAAGTTTGACTGTTCCTTCCTGCCTCCTAGTCTCTGAAATGTCCTCAAGTGAAAGATGAGGTCGTGAGGGACCCCGGGACTTGCCTGCACAGACTCCTCTGGCTTCCAATATCTGCAGGTCCTAGTATAAGCTCCGGAGAGGCCTTGTGATGTGAGGATAGTGAGGAACCAGAACATTTTGTTCCATAAGAAACAACCTATTAAGTATAGAGTACTGTGGTGCAAATTATGCCATGATTGTGTTTTCTTGGTTCACATTTATTTTACTTAGTTTTTTGAACCCTAACCATAACCCTAACCCTACTTGTTTTTTTCTGAACTGCACTAACATTTATTTTAAACTTTAAAGAATTTGCACTGCTTTAGACTGTTGTTCTATATTTAGAGTGTTGCCTTTACACTTTTAAAAAAATATAAGCTCACTTTTGTGTTGAAGTAAGAGACACCCTTCTGTTTAAAAATATCTTAAGAGTAAGCAAAATATCTTAGGAGGAAGCAAAACATCCAACAGTGAAGATACTTTGTTTAATACAGTTGTTCCCCACTTCCCTGTCTCAACCACTCAATTCTGCTTTCCTCTTGTGCCCTAAGAGACCCAGAGGACCCGTCCAAGACCCCCAATAAGGGGATACAGTTTCCAAGCTGCTGCACCAGGCACTTTGTAGGCCACTGGGAAACTGGATGAGGCTCCATCTGTTTATAGAAATGAACACATGCACGATGATTTATATCTCTAGATAGAGTTTCCAGGACTTTTTGTTTTGCTCATTTGCTAATTTTCAAAACTGGAGCATATTTTTCTTGTTTGACTTTACATTTTTTCAGTTAAACATTATACCTGTTTATGAAAAAAAGGATAATATAATAGAAAAAAATATCTTGTAGGATCATGAGACTATAGATAATGATTTGTCTTTTTATTTTCCCAAATGTTCTCAATTGTAAGAGCAAAAAGGCTCAGGAAAATTGAGATGAGTTGGTGAACTGTAATATTTTGTGAAATAATGGCCCAAGTTTTTATAAGGTTTGATAGAAATGAACAATAACGTAGGACTTGTAATAATGTGCGACAAAAAAATGTACTGAAATTATAATAATTAATAGTAAGCTGTAATAGCTTTTTAGCACTTTAAGCAAGGTGCCCCCCTCCATTAGGCTTCTACCTTCCACAGAACTGGTTGATAGGGATGATATCTTTCTTGATAATTACATTTCAAAGGGATGGCTTCCAGGTCTTTGAGAAAGACTGTCCTGGGATGTAAAACTAGCAAGAAGCGTTTAAAAAAGATTTACATCTCAAAGGGGCTGATAAAGAATTTACAATGACAAGTTCTCTAAATAAAATGCTTTAAGAAAAAGGAAGAAAGGGCCTAGAGGCAGGAGGAAGCCTGTTTAGTTTGTTTATTTAGTCAAGTTTGGGTTGTCTAAAGTTTATTAAAGCTGAGGGGAATGTTAAGACTCTCTTAGCCAGGAGGAATCAAAAATCAATGCACCTAATTAAAAGTGTTCACCCGATGACCAGATTGAGGCTTCATATTTTATATCCACACCTATGGGCTTTCTTTGCCACTCCATAACCCAGTTTCAGCAGCTCTTGGGGAAAATGGGACATCTTTTTGGGGTCACCTTGAAAAGTAATGTATTTTTGTCTTTCCGGTAGCCCCATATTTTAGGTCAGCCTATTTCAAACAAACTCTCCACATTTGGTGAAATGAATCTAGCTATTTTCACAGGACGTGATGACAGAAATAGTTTTTATTGATAAAGAATTACATTTGTAAGTTTAAAACATTCTTTATAGGTTATGTTGTAGACATTAAACTGAAAGATAATGAGCAGCAATGGGGGGATTTTGTGTGATGATTAAGAATTCAGGCTCTGGAATCAAACTGTGGGTTCCAGGTGTTTATGACTACTTGAGGGTTCTGGAATGAGTTACTAAACCTCACTCAGTCTTCTCATCTCTAAAGTTGGGCAATAATTGTACTGACCTCATGTGTTGTTGGGTGATAATGGAAAGTGCTGAAAACAGTGCCTGGCACCAAGATTTTTGTTGTTGTTGTTTGTTTTGTTTTTGTTTTGTTTTGTTTTGTTTTCTGAGATGGAGTCTCACTCTGTTGCCCAGGCTGGAGTGCAGTGGCACGATCTTGGCTCTCTGCAGCCTCCACCTCCTGGGGCTCAAGCGATTCTCCGGCATCAGCCTTCCAAGTAGCTGGGATTACAGTTGCCCACCACCGTGCCTGGATAATTTTTGAATTTTCAATAGAGATGTGGTTTCACCTTCTTGGCCAGGCTGGTCTCAAACTGCTGACCTCAAGTGATCTGCCCACCTCAGGCTTACAAAGTGCGGGGATTACAGGTGTGAACCACCACACCCATCCGCACCAAGACCTTTTGGCTGCTGCTACACCAAGGGAGCAAGTAAGCAGGTCTTGGAGAGTGTCTGTGCCCCTGTTGCTAAGAGGGGTACCAGTCATGGGCCCTGAGATTGGCTATTTTATGAATAAACCAGTGTTTTTTTTCCTATTGGTGTGGTAACCCTTTACCACACATTTAGTGGCTGAAAACAACACGCATTTATTATCTTACAGGTCTGAAAGTCCTAAGTCCAAAATGGTACAGCAGAGCAATGTTATTTTCGGGAATCTCTAGGAGAAAATCTGTTTCCTTGCTTTTTCTGGCTTCTCAAGGAGGTTGCATTCCTTCATCAGTGGCCCCTACCCCTCTGACCTCTGCTTCCGTCCTCACGTCTCCATCTCCGACTCTGACCCTCCTGCGTCTCTCTTATAAGGACCCTCATATTCCATTGAGTCCACTGGGGTAACTCAGGATAAGCTCACGTCTCAAAATACTTAATTGAGTACCATTTGCAAAGTCCTTATTGCCAGGGAAGATCATGTTGTCACGTTTTGGGAATTAGGAGTGGAAGTCTTTTGGGGGGTGGTTATTCCACCTACCACCTCAGGGCCTGCTGACTCGGGGACGAATGACTGTGTGGCCACAGGAGGGCTTGGCTGATGTGCTTTTCTGTGCTGTGCCTTTGATGCAGACCTTCCCTGATGGATGACCTCTGTGAAGCAAATGGCACTTTTGCCATCAGCTTATTTAAAATATTAGGGGAAGAGGACAACTCAAGAAATGTATTCTTCTCTCCCATGAGCATCTCCTCTGCCCTGGCCATGGTCTTCATGGGGGCAAAGGGAAGCACCGCAGCCCAGATGTCCCAGGTATGTGTGCTTGTCGCAAAGGAAGGAGAACGGCATGTTTCCCTGTGCTTCCGTCGAATTGTCTTTCTGTACTTTTGCTACAGCTGATGAAAGCCTGTGGAGCTGGAGGTGGAAGGGGGAGCAGCACGGCAGTGGAGAAGAGCAGAAAGGGGTAGAAGGGTGAAATATGTTAGACAGATCACCTCCTCCGATGTTTATGAGAGAAATCAAGCCACGGAGTTATTTTCTCTAGATCAGATCATCAGTACAGTCTGGCAAATTCACACCTTTGATAAGTAAGATAAACTATCATTCTGTCCCGCAGGAAGGCAAAATATTCCAACCTTGTTACATTTTAAACTTTTGCTAACATTGTATTTTAAATAGACATGCAGCTGCCTAGATTAACTTTTTGTTAAGTGGGTTATTTTTAGTGCACGATTATGCATCCTGGGAAAGGAATGTAATACAAGCGTAGACTTATATCTTCTGGAGTGGTTTAGAGGAATATATAATCTGTTTGATTCAAACTGGTGATGTATATACAACGTTATCTACAAACGAGGTGGGAGATAATCCTTTAGGAACAGTTCTGTGACTATTGGTGAAAATGTCCGAGATAATTGCCAAATGAATGTCACTTTACCACCAATATCAGAGGTGTATAGACAATCTCCTAAAATGCACCTAGGGACCCCAGTTGACATCCTTCTGTGGTTGTTTCTTTCAACTGATTGGAGGAGTGAGGCTTTGGACTGCAGGTGATTGAGAGATATAGGAACAACCTTAATTCTCACTCTGACTTGACATTTAATTTATAATATGGTCTGGAGAACTTCTGTAAAATTGCAGATGAAACATTTTTAGTTTTATTGCTGCTTTTGTTTGTATTACCTGAGTCGTAATTCATCCCAGTTACTTTTTTCTGCTCTGCCTTCCCTCTGAATTATTGCACAGTGCCTTGCTGGGATGAATACATTTGCTAGACTAGTGGTTCTCACGGGGGGTTGGGGTGGGAGGTAGGGGTCGGTGATGGGAGGTAGGGGTCGGTGGGTGAATTTTTCCTTCTTGGGGACCCTTGCCAAGACCTGGAGTTTTAGATCCCATAACTGAGAGGTGCTCCTGACATCTAGTGGACAGAATCCAGAAGTGCTGCAAAAATCCTATAACGCTTATGTGAGACCAGGAAGTGTCCTGGCCCCAAGTGTCAGTGCTACATTGCCCACGTTGAGAAACCCTGTGCTAGAGAATTAGGCCAAACCTTTTTAAAGTAGGATCCTGTGTGATTTTTTTAGTACAGAGGTTTGTTTGGAGGAAGCTCTTTGGGAGAGTATAATGGCAGTGTTAAAAGTCAGTGTTGGTTTCTGTTCCCAGGCACTTTGTTTGTACAAGGACGGAGATATTCACCAAGGTTTCCAGTCACTTCTCAGTGAAGTTAACAGAACTGGCACTCAGTACTTGCTTAGAACGGCCAACAGGCTCTTTGGAGAAAAGACGTGTGATTTCCTTCCAGTAAGTAGTATTCATATATTGATGAAAAAGAAATGGAAAATAAGTTAGACTACAGAAGAGTAGAGAATCAAGTATAACTATACTGACTTAAAATGTGCTTGGAATTATACTTCCGAAATTACAATTTTAGATTTTATGATGGCTTCTGAATTATGTCCTTTGTAAATTGTTTCTGATACACCCATCCCTGTTATCAATCCCAATATGTCAGTTCTCCTGCACGCAGCCCTGCTTCTCCCCCTTAATTCCCTATGCCTGAGTGACTGCATCATTCAACGTGCTGTGCAGAGCTCCTCCCCAGTCCCATGTGTGGTTATTGGGCTGCCTCCTGCTGAGATAGCCTCTCAAATTCTCTTAAATTTGCCCCTCTCTTCTGAATTGCATCTATAACTGACACAATTGTCTTTCTAAAATGAAAATCTGTTCATAAAACTGAGGTTTTAAATTTAAGTAGTTCCTATTTACTTAGGCATGTAATTCCAAGGTTCCCGAGTCCAGCCTGGCATAATACAATCAGTGAGGTTCAGAAATTATGCCACATAATATGCAGGGTGATGTTGTCTGGAAATTAGTGAACCGATCACAGCAAACTGGGCCATCCTATTGGCTGCAGGTTCTGAGAGGGCTCCTCTAAGGTTCAAATACATCCCTGTCCTGGTAGATGCTGGGTGCTGTTCCCCGAATGTGCCTGCTTTGGGTTTATCTACCTCAGAAAGTGACTCTGGATCCCAGGAATTTCCTGGTGAATCCATTTCATTTTTGAACTTCAGCCTGATCTTCTACTGTTATAATATTGGGGAACACAGGGAACCAACCTCTACTTTTCTTGGTGGCTTGTCTCCTCCTTCCCTCTATATCCCCTTTATTTGGCCGAAATTAAAGTATTTGAGAACATGGAATGGACAGAGTCTGGGAGCCAGTTTCCAGGCCTGTTATATCTGAAGCCACGTTTTTGTGAGGTGAGTTATCTGGGTTTTAATGTATTGGGTACAGGCCTTTTCTGATTGGACCCCAACTTACATTTCAAGGCTCTTTCCCTGCCACTGTTTCCCTTAATCCCCTTCATCCCCTTCCTGATACACACAAACACACATACATGTGTGTACACACACACACACACAAACATGCGTGCAATCCACACACATGCAGGTGAACAGGCACACACATATGCACCCATGCACACAGATGTTCACATGCACGCACATGTATGAACCCAGTTGCATATACACACTATAATTCAGGCCTATCACCCTCCATTCCCATGGGGCCTTCCTTGCTCTATATTCTTCCAACCAACCGTATGACCCAGATCTAAAATGCTATTTCCTTCTTTGCAGTTCAACACGATTTCTTAACAATCTAGTTCCCTTATAAAGCCTCTCATTTACCCAAAACCACAATACTGTAGTTTGTGCTGGTGATGCAAAATGAGTAACAGTGTGTTAGACTGCCTAGTGAGGGAAGCAATATTAAAGTCAGTGCCGTGTTTCACAGGGATGCTTCTGGGCTGTTATGTGGATAGTGGCAGCTCATGATGTCCTGTGAGTGTCTGGGTGTCTCAGCTGCCTCTTCTCAGGCTGTGGACTTCCTCAAACCAAGCACTTTGCCCAGTACCAGGGAAGAATAGGTTTTCGTTAATTGCACGCATGCACCCTAAAGTGCAGTGTGACCTGTCCAAGCACTTACGGTGGAAACGCAGTAAGAGAAAACAAAATGCTTTTGCATTTGTGGGAGCCATTACCAGATGAGACCAAACTCGGTGTTTTGTGTTTGCAGGACTTTAAAGAATCCTGTCAGAAGTTCTATCAGGCAGAGCTGGAGGAGTTGTCCTTTGCTGGAAACACGGAAGAGTGCAGGAAACATATAAATGACTGGGTGGCAGAAAAGACTGAAGGTGAGAGAGCTTCATTTCTGTGGATTTGGAATTACTACGCAGCGAGGCTGAGATTGGCTGGGATGGGACCTCCATGGTGTTGCCACTGTGACGTGCTTACCACAGGCCTGTTTGTGTGTATTGCTGAGTTTGCAGGCCAACAATGCAATTCTGTCGTTTCTTATCAGATCATGAAGTACTAATTTCTAAAACTCATGTTGAATCTCAGACCTCCTCCCCTGTGGACCATGCTGGAAAATCCCTGGAAAATAGTTCCTCCTTGGAATCCTGTTAATCTTCTCTCTGAGAGGCCCCTCCATGCTCGGAGACAGAATGGCATTCAATTAAGTTGCAGCTTAAAGAGGGCTCTCATGTTACCTCCTCCCTGTGGTCATGGGGACAACTTAGTAGTTTGATCTGCAGCCTTCTCCTTCCTTTTTAACTTGGCCGGGGCTACATTTGCTCTCTGAGTGCGGCCTTTTCTGAATTTGCTCCCTATTCTGGACATGCAGCAACATGGAGCCTGCAGTGTTCCCTGCCCAGACCACACTCCATCCCACCAGAAATATTTCTGCCAGTTCTTTACTTCAGTAGGAAACAAGGGGAGGCATCCTTGAAAGCATCCTAAATACCTAACAAGTAATTTAGATACTTGTAAACAGTGGAGGAATTAAGTCACTTGTTTCAGGGGCCAACCTAGCCCTCATTATTGCATCCGTTCCATCTCTATGTCACAACCACTGTGTGTCTAACAGAAGTAATGCCCGTGGTTCTACTGAAAGCCAATAAAATAATTACCATGGGAAGGGAAGAGCCTTTCATGTTTTCATACGTCATCTGCCCAGTGGTCTCTCCAGTTGTTCCAGCAGTACTGTCACCTGAGGAATCTAGAAGCTTCTCCACACCTTCCCCCCACTGCTCTATACCTGTCACTTCTCTTCCAGGGCTGTGATATACCCTTCCTTCCCTTAGGCTGACCCCCAGAATATTAGAGCTGGAGGGGACCTTGGAGATGACTTTGTTATCCTCTCATTAGACAGCTCAACTTGGGCCCCTCTATTCCATCCCCCTAATTCCTTTGCCCCATTCACCCCTTTCAGTGAGGCTGCCTTCTCCCATTGACAGGTCTGTGTTCTCTCATCCTTTGGAAGCCTTTCCTTGTCTGATGAGGTTAGAATATATGTATAGAGCAATGATCCTCAACTAGGGGTGGCTTTGCCCTCCAGGTGCCATTGGATAATAGCTGAAGACAGTCTTGGTTGTCAAAATTGGGAGAAATGCTGCTGGCTAACCATCCTACAATGCCCAAGACAGCCCCCATAACAAAGAATTATTTGGCTTAAGATGACAATAGTGGTGAGGCTTGGATATGATAGTGCCAAGGTTGACTACCCCATAGTCAGAATCAAGACTCTGAGGTGATGTTCTCAACTCAGCCACTTGTCACCTGTGTGCACTCGGCAAAAAGTCTGGCAAATGCTCTGATCCTGAATTTCTATATCCGTAAATTGAGGGCAAAATGATAGTTGCCCTTCCTACTTCAAGGCTTTTTTCTTAAGCACAAACGATACACTGTGTATACCACGCTGCTAAACACCATCGCCCAATTCATCGGGTGGCCAGAAAGACAGAACTCCAGGCTCTCTCTGAAGCCTCTGCCTTAGGCGTCAAAGGAATTTTTGTAAAATAATGCTTGTTTCCCCACAAATTGCAATAAACTCTCATATTCTTTATAGGTAAGATTTCAGAGGTACTGGATGCTGGGACAGTCGATCCCCTGACAAAGCTGGTCCTTGTGAATGCCATCTATTTCAAGGGAAAGTGGAATGAGCAATTTGACAGAAAGTACACAAGGGGGATGCTCTTTAAAACCAACAAGGTAGGGAAAGAGTTTTCAGATATACTGCTACTTCCTTAAAGTAATATTACAGGAAATATTCTTTTAGAAAAATGAATAATTTATTTGACATGATCTTGATTTTAATCTATTTCTGAATTATATTATTTTATTTTCTTTGAGACAGGGTCTCTTTCTGTCACCCAGGCTGGAGTGCAGTGGTGCAATCTCAGCTCACTGCAGCCTTGACCTCCCAGGTGCAAACGATCACCCAACCTTAGCTTCCCAAGTAGCTGGGACTGCAGGTGCACACCACCAGGCCTGGCTAATTTTTGTATTTTTTGTAGAGACAAGGTTTTGTCATATTGCCCAGGTTGGTCTTGAACTCCTGGCCTCAAGTGATACACCCTCCTTATCCTCCCAAAGTTCTGGGGTTACAGGCATAACCCACTGTGCCTGGCTTTTTTTCTGAATGAATTTAATGCCTCCTGTATGTCTTTAATGGCGGAAGGAGGAGAGAAGCAAAACTAATTTTGGTGTTGATGGTTTTGTTTTTCCATCTTTGATCAAATCTACCTTCCATCTCTGGTCGTATGATTTGGATTGGAGGAGAATTTCTTCTAAGCCTTGGAATTATGTTTGCATGATGCTATTACTGTCTATAGCTAGTTAGATACCTTTTTGCCATATCAGTGGCAACTATGCCTGTTTATTGCCTTAAAAATCAAAGTTATACAATCCTGAACACAAGAAAAAGATGTTAGCAGATGTAAAGCCCTAACTTTACATTCCCTTTTGAATATGAAAATAACTGGTATCAATAGTTGTTAGCGGCCGGGCGCGGTGGCTCACGCCTGTAATCCCAGCACTTTGGGAGGCCGAGGCGGGCGGATCACAAGGTCAGGAGATCGAGACCATGGTGAAACCCCGTCTCTACTAAAAAATAGAAAAAAATTAGCCGGGCGCAGTGGCGGGCGCCTGTAGTCCCAGCTACTCGGGAGGCTGAGGTAGGAGAATGGCGTGAACCCGGGAGTCGGAGCTTGCAGTGAGCCGAGATTGCGCCACTGCACTCCAGCCTGGGCGACAGAGCGAGACTCCGTCTCAAAAAAAAAAAAAAAAAAAAAAAAAAAATAGTTGTTAGCTTGGGATATGACATCCATCAACTTGATAATTTCATATTGCACAGAGATGTGAAAGTTAAAAATATATTTGATGCAGGCTTTAAAAACAGCAGACCTTACACATCTCTTCAAGGTCCCCTTCCCAAGAAAACCAAAGCCATAAAAGCAATTCTACAACTGGGAACTTTTCAGAGTTTGTACTGTACCTCTTTTCTAACCAGATCCTTCAGCCCAAGGGCCTGAATATTTACCTTAATTTCAATAAATAATTTTTAGTTGGAAGCTTCCATGAGAAAGCTTCTCTATGAATGTTCTCAAAAAAGCAAACACAACTTCTTCCAGGAATAATGTAGATTTTTATGTCCTTCTCCATTTACCAAACTGTTTTTTTTTTTTTCCTCACCTGGTAATAGTTGATTTGCTGGAACAATAGTTTGTTCTATTCATACTAAGATGTACTAATGAAGATTTTATATCCATCAGCATAAATGTGCAGAAACAGAAATTATACACACCTAGAGTTTCTGTGAGTTAGATGTATCCTATTTTTAGTAAATTATGCCCATTTTTCAGTGATCTAATTTTAATTTCATGTTTCTATTAGGAAAAAAAGACAGTGCAGATGATGTTTAAGGAAGCTAAATTTAAAATGGGGTATGTGGATGAGGTGCACACCCAGGTCCTGGAGCTGCCGTATGTGGAAGAGGAGCTGAGCATGGTCATTCTGCTTCCCGATGATGACACGGACCTCGCCGTGGTAAGCTCCAGGCAGTGAGTCTTTGAGTGTCTATGGAGTCCAGCTGAGCTCATTTCTTTATGTCCATCTACCACTTGGCATTTGAGGAGTTTCCAATTGGGGTTATTACATGTAGTGCTGGGTGAACATCATTGCGTGTCTTTTGGTGAACATGTTCATGCTTTTCTGTTGAGTGTATACATATATGAGTGGACACATTTTGATGAACCTAAGAAGAGAGAGTTCTAAATATATTGTTAATTGGAATTTTTTTTTATTATACTTTAAGTTCTAGGGTACGTGTGCACAACGTACAGGTTTGTTACATATGTATACATGTGCCATGGTGGTGTGCTGCACCTATCAACTCGTCAGCACCCATCAACTTGTCATTTACATCAGTTATAACTCCCAGTGCCATCTCTCCCCCCTCCCCCCTCCCCATAATAGGCCCTGGTGTGTGATGTTCCCCTTCCCGAGTCCAAGTGATCTCATTGTTCAGTTCCCACCTATGAGTGAGAACGTGGAGTGTTTGGTTTTCTGTTCTTGCAAAAGTTTGCTAAGAGTGACGGTTTCCAGCTACACCCATGTCCCTACAAAGGACACGAACTCATCCCTTTTTATGGCTGCATAGTATTCCATGGTGTATATGTGCCACATTTTCTTAATCCAGTCTGTCACTGATGGACATTTGGGTTGATTCCAAGTCTTTGCTATTGTGAATAGTGCTGCAATAAACATACATGTGCATGTGTCTTTATAGCAGCATGATTTATAATCCTTTGGGTATATACCCAGTAATGGGATGGCTGGGTCATATGGTATTTCTAGTTCTAGATCCTTGAGGAATCGCCACGCTGTCTTCCACAATGGTTGAACTAGTTTACAATCCCACCAACAGTGTAAAAGTGTTCCTGTTTCTCCACATCCTCTCCAGCACCTGTTGTTTCCTGACTTTTGAATGATCGCCATTCTAACTGGTGTGAGATGGTATCTCATTGTGGTTTTGATTTGCATTTCTCTGATGGCCAGTGATGACGAGCATTTTTTCCTGTGTCTGTTGGCTGTATGAATGTCCTCTTTTGAGAAATGTCTGTTCATATCCTTTGCCCACTTTCTGATGGGGTTGTTTGTTTTTTTCTTGTAAATTTGTTTGAGTTCTTTGTAGGTTCTGGATATTAGCCCTTTGTCAGATGAGTAGATTGCAAAAATTTTCTCCGATTCTGTAGGTTGCCTGTTCACTCTGATGGTAGTTTCTTTTGCTGTGCAGAAGCTGTTTAGTTTAATTAGATCCCATTTGTCAATTTTGGCTTTTGTTGCCATTGCTTTTGGTGTTTTAGACATGAAGTCCTTACCCATGCCTATGTCCTGAATGGTATTACATAGGTTTTCTTCTAGGGTTTTTATGGTATTAGGTCTAACATTTAAGTCTCTAATCCATCTTGAATTAATTTTCGTATAAGGAGTAAGGAAAGGATCCAGTTTCAGCTTTCTGCTTATGGCTAGCCAATTTTCGCAGCGCCATTTATTAAATAGGGAATCCTTTCCCCATTTCTTGTTTTTCTCAGCTTTGTCAAAGATCAGATGGCTGTAGATGTGTAGTATTATTTCTGAGGGCTCTGTTCTGTTCCATTGGTCTATATCTCTGTTTTAGTACCAGTACCATGCTGTTTTGGTTACTGTAGCCTTGTAGTATAGTTTGAAGTCAGGTAGCGTGATGCCTCCAGCTTTATTCTTTTTTTTTTTTTTTTTTTTTTTTTTTTGAGACGGAGTCTCGCTCTGTCGCCCAGGCTGGAGTGCAGTGGCCGGATCTCAGCTCACTGCAAGCTCCGCCTCCCAGGTTTACGCCATTCTCCTGCCTCCGCCTCCTGAGTAGCTGGGACTACAGGCGCCTGCCGCCTCGCCCGGCTATTTTTTTGTATTTTTTAGTAGAGACGGGGTTTCACTGTGTTAGCCAGGATGGTCTCGATCTCCTGACCTCGTGATCTGCCCGTCTCGGCCTCCCAAAGTGCTGGGATTACAGGCTTGAGCCACCGTGCCCGGCAGCTTTATTCTTTTGACTTAGGATTGTCTTGGCAATGCGGCCTCTTTTATGGCTCCATATGAATTTTAAAGCAGTTTTTTCCCAATTCTGTGAAGAAAGTCACTGGTAGCTTGATGGGGATGGCATTGAATCTATAAATTACCTTGGGTGGCATGGCCATTTTCACGATATTGATTCTTCCTATCCATGAGCATGGTATGTTCTTCCATTTGTTTGTGTCCTCTTTTATTTCACTGAGCAGTGGTTTGTAGTTCTCCTTGAAGAGGTCCTTTACATCCCTTGTAAGTTGGATTCCTAGGTATTTTATTCTCTTTGAAGCAATTGTGGATGGAAGTTCATTCATGATTTGGCTCTCTGTCTATTACTGGTGTATAAGAATGCTTGTGATTTTTGCACGTTAATTTTGCCTCCTGATACTTTGCTGAAGTTGCTTATCAGCTTAAGGAGATTTTGGGCTGAGATGATGGGGTTTTCTAAATATAAAATCATGTCATCTGCAAACAGGGACAATTTGACTTCTTCTTTCCCTAACTGAATACCCTTGATTTCTTTCTCTTGCCTGATTGCCCTAGCCAGAACTTCCAACACTATGTTGAATAGGAGTGGTGAGAGAGGGCATCCCTATCTTGTGCCAGTTTTCAAAGGGAGTGCTTCCAGTTTTTGCCCATTCAGTATGATATTGGCTGTGGGTTTGTCATAAATAGCGCCTATTATTTTGAGATACGTTCCATCAATACTGAATTTATTGAGAGTTTTTAGCATGAAGGGCTGTTGAATTTTGTCGAAGGCCTTTTCTGCATCTACTGAAATAATCATGTGGTTTTTGTCTTTGGTTCTATTTATGTGATGGATTACATTTATTGATTTGCATATGTTGAACCAGCCTTGCATCCCAGGGATGAAGCCCACTTCATCATGGTGGATAAGCTTTTTGATGTGCTGCTGGATTCGGTTTGCCAGTATTTTACTGAGGATTTTTGCATCGATGTTCATCAGGGATATTGGTCTAAAATGCTCTTTTTTTGTTGTGCCTCTGCCAGGTTTTGGTATCAGGATGATGTTGGCCTCATAAAATGAGTTAGGGAGAATTCCCTCTTTTTCTATTAATTGGAATTGTTTCAGAAGGAATGGTACCAGCTCCTTCTTGTACCTCTGGTAGAATTCGGTTGTGAATCCATCTGGTCAATTGGAATATTATTCTTTATTCTGCATGGAAGATCTACTTGAAAGCCCAATGATTATTGCACAAAAGTCCCGGAAGAAGGGTAGAGATCAATCTGGGCAGTGATTCTTAAACATTAATGCACATATATGATTCTAGTGATCTTGTTAAAGTGCAGATTTTGATTCAATGGAGTGTGGCCTGAGGTCTTGCATTTGGAACAAGATTCCAAGTGATACATATGCTTGGGACCACACTATGAATAGCAAAAGTCTAAAGTACAAGTGGGAAATTTACCTTATACAAGAGGAGAGAAAAGTCTTACTATGACAGAAAAGGAGCAGAGTCCGGGAAGGGAAAAGGTAAACTTGCAAGGTAAGAGATGCAAGACTAATAGTGCACTGGTAAACCAGCTCTGGGAGGTGGGAGTAGCCTTCATTTACAAAGTTTGCTGATTCTCATGACATGATAAATACTACCACCATGGCTGACTTTAGGCTATGAAGGGTTTAACAATCGATAGGAGCCAGCTCTGGCACACAAGTGCTCAGGATGTTGAGGGTGGGCTGCTTGATTTCCCTGGCTTCCCTTTGGAATCAGAAAGCTACTGCCCTAAGTCAGGGATGACATCTGTTGTGGCCACTTATGAGAAAATTAGGAGAGTCTTGAAATAGAGTCAAAATCAAAACAATGCTCATTGGAGAAGAGCACCCACCTGGGCTGCAGTTGGAAAAGGGAAGGGGAGATGTGAGTGGGAGGCCCTTCTCCCTTTTTTCTTTCTACCTTATTGATAAATAGAAAGAATGATGGATCTTGAAGAATTTGAAGCTAATTCCAGGACAGGCAGAGGACAAACAAGGATACCAGATGAAGTCTTGTTGAATTCCACATTTCTCGTCTCCTGCTCCCTTCTCATGCCTCCCTTCATCTTCAGATGAAACCCAATTCCCTCTCCTTTGCTCTGTAAGAGTTGCCGTCTGATTTAACCCTGAATAGTCCCCTGATTAGACTCAGAAGCAGAGTTCTGAGCCGTGCTCTTTGTCTTTTGTCAAACAATCTCTCCCACTCACAGTAATATGTACTGCGTGAAGATTAATGTAATGAATTGGTTAGAATTTTCTAAACTGTTACAAAATGTTTTTAACGTTTGAAAGGAGTTAGGTACAAATTGTTTTTATTAAAAATTTCTGCCTGTCTCAGGTGTTTACTAGCTCTTTTACACTTGTCTCCATAAAACTTGGAAAATATGAAGATTTGGGAGAAAATCTTGGTGTTTATAAAAGAAAATATCTGTAGATTTTCTTGGACCAGAACTTACCATCTAGTTGCATGTCATTAGTGGAGGGATAATAAATGGGTATGTGGGTATCAGGCTATTGTCATCTAAATTTTAAGGTTTGGCTCTTTCTTATCCTAGGTGGAAAAAGCACTTACATATGAGAAATTCAAAGCCTGGACAAATTCAGAAAAGTTGACAAAAAGTAAGGTTCAAGTTTTCCTTCCCAGATTAAAGCTGGAGGAGAGTTATGACTTGGAGCCTTTCCTTCGAAGGTTAGGAATGATCGACGCTTTTGATGAAGCCAAGGCAGACTTTTCTGGAATGTCAACTAAGAAGAATGTGCCTGTGTCCAAGGTTGCCCACAAGTGCTTTGTGGAGGTCAATGAGGAAGGCACAGAGGCTGCCGCAGCCACTGCTGTGGTCAGGAATTCCCGGTGTAGCAGAATGGAGCCAAGATTCTGTGCAGACCACCCTTTCCTTTTCTTCATCAGGCACCACAAAACCAACTGCATCTTTTTCTGCGGCAGGTTCTCTTCTCCGTAAAGAGGAGCAATTGCTGTACATGCCCTCCTTTCCTTCTGCCTACCTTGCCTTAATTGACATTCCATGTGACCCAGTTGGTGCAGTGGCTTGAATGCCAAAATAAAGCGTGTGCACTGAATAGTGTGTGAATGTCTTTGCTGAAGGTTCTGGAGACACTGAGAATAACTGAGGCCACAGATGCCTGAAATTTGGGCCTGGGAAGGCTATGCTGGTTTTGGAGTGTTTGGGGTGCCTCCCATTGCCTCTGCCTTCACTTAAGTCTGTGCCCATTGTTTCAGGGGATCTTAAGAAGCATCTCAGGGCTTCAGGAGCCAGCCCTCTATGTGCTCTTCTATCCGCCCAACTCTGCCCACCACCACTACCGTGCTGAACAGGGACCAGTGCCCAGGTAACACTGCACACAAAGCCAAGGGCAAACCCTACAGAGTAAAGCTGCAGCCACCCTGTGTCTCACATGCAGCTGAAATAGTGGTCTGCTTCTGTCACTGTCGCATAGACAGCTCTGCATGCCCCCTGTCTCACACAGTCTGTAATGAAAACAGCTCCTTCTTATCTTTCCATAAACCTCAGATACAAGTTCAGGGACTCAGCAATACACTTCAGGACTGAGCTAGGAGGCAAATACTGAAACTTGCTATGCCGTCCTTTCTATTCCTTTTCCCTCTGAAATACACAAAATACCAAAGGAACTTACACAGCACACCACTGAGTCCTCTAACTCATCATATATGCTCAAACACGGCTCAAGCACACCCCTTAAGAAAGAACCTCCCTACATTACTTTTTTTCTGACTAAAAATAAAATTGTATTGTGGCAGCAATTTGGAAACTACAGCGAAGTCTCCAAAAAAATTTAAGTCCCCCACAATTCTAACACACAGCAATCACTGCTGTTAATAGTGATATACATCCTTTCTATTATATGTATGCAAATAGAAACTTATAAGCATTTTATTACAAGTTAATCATATCCTTCAGTAGCTTATTTCTTCCGTTACTTATGAAAAACCTCCCTTAAGATCTTTCCAGGTCATCAGTTTCATGTGCATAGTATTCCACTGTGTGGCTGGATTTCTATAATTGAATCTAATTTTAGACAGTTTGAGTAATTAAAATTTTTTCTATTAATAAATAATAGATTATTAATAATAAATATGTATGATACTGTTTTGGATATACTAAATATTTGCTCACATCCTTAATATATTTTTTAAAATTCCTAAGAATAGTATTGTCGAGATAAAAGTTGAGCATATTTTGAGACTTCTTCCAAATTGGTCCCTAGAAAGTTCCACTGGTTTATACACTCACTTATGTCACCATTTATACTACCACTAACTGCCGCCTGCTTTATTATTTCTTTAATGAGTTGGAGAACAGTGGTTACTCCTGACTCTGTTTTTGACTGATGGTTAACAGTTACATGAACTATTCATATTACAGCTCTTACTTAAATTTGACCAACCTAGGATATATTCTGTGAGGCCACATTCATTTCAGGGATCATGTTTTCCAAAGCAGGTTTGGCCAAAAATTAATCCACAGTACTGAAAAGTATACATCTGTGAGTTTTGTGCTCACTTACGCCTCTAATTTGAAGAAAACTTTATACTTTTATTGCAGTACAATCGACACAGAATACATTTCACATATTTAACCCATACAATAAGTTCTGACACGTTTTCCATGAAACAAACCATCACTATATTCAAGATAATGAACCTATCTATCATACTCCCAAATTCCTTCTTGCATCTTTGTAATTTCTCACTCTTCCTTCTCCCTCTCCCCATCACATCCCAACCACTGATCTGTTCGGACAACTACTGGTCTTCTTTCTGTCACTATAGAATAATTTGCATTTTCAAAGAAATTTACATGCATGGAACCATGCATCATCTATGCTTTGTAGTATGACTCCTATCAGTACAATTATTTTGAGATTCATTTATGTTACTGTATATATCAACAGTTTATTCCTTTTATTGGTAAGTAACATTTCTTTGTATAGATATACCATGATTTATTGATTAACAAATTTACCTGTTGATGAACATTTAGGTTGTTACTGAGATTTTCACTATTGAAAATATAGTTTTAATGAACATTTATGTATATACATCTTTGTATGGATATATGTCTTCATTTCTTTTGTATATAGATACATAGAAGTAGAAAGGCTGGGTTATAGGGAAGGTGTAAGTTTAACTTTCTAAGGATCTGCCAAATTGCCTTCCAAAGTGGTTGTATCATTTAACATTCCCAGTAGAGCCTAGGAGAGTTCTGGTTGTTTGCCTCCTCACCAACACTTGGTACTACCAGTGTTGTTACTTTCAGTGTGTACCGGTTTTAGGTTGCATTTCCCTAATGCCTGATTATGTTCAGCATTTTAAAAAATGTGCTTATATGCTATCCATTTATGTTATTTGATGAAATGTCTTTTTAAGTGTCTCATCAACATTTTATTGCTTCTTGCTTTATTTTTTATTTATTTATTTTTTGAGACAGAGTATCTCTCCGTTGCCTCAGCCCCCCGAGTAGCTGTGACTACAGGCGTGTGCCACCACACCCAGCTAATTTTTGTATTTTTAGTAAAGACAGGGGTTCCCCATGTTGGCCAGGCTGGTTTTGAACTTCAGACCTCAGGTGATCTGCCCACCTTGGCCTTCCAAAGTGCTGGGATTACAGGCATGAGCCACCGCACCCAGCCTTTTGTTTTCTTATTGTATTTTGAGAAATCTCATGATATGACTACCAAATCTTTTATCATATATGGGATTTGCAAACATTTTCCTCCCAGCTCATGGCTTCAATTTTCATTTTTATAACAGTGCCTTTAAAAAGCAGAAGTTCTTGATTTTGATGAAGTCCATTTGATCATTTTGTTTCTTTGTTTATGCTTAATGCTTTTGTTGTCATATTGAAGGAATGCTTTGCCTAACCCAAGGTCACAAGGATCTCCTATGTTTCTTCTAGAAATTGATTTTCCTTTTTGGCCTATGATCAATTTTGAGTTCATGTTTTGCATATGATGAAAAAGCTATCCATTTTCCACTGAATTGTCTTTGCATCTTTGTCAAAAATCAGCTGATCATGGATGTGTGATTCTATTTCTGGATTCTATTGGATTCCATTGATCTGCTTGTCTATCTTGATGTCAATTCCACATTGTCTGAATTACTGTAGCTTAATAATAAGTTTTGAAAACACTTAAGTGACATGTTTTCCAACTTTATTTTTCAACGTTGTTTTATCTGCTTTCAGTCTTCGGTCTTTCCCTGTGAATTTTATAATTTGCCTGTTGACTTATACAAAGCCTGCTGCAATTTTGATTAGGACTGTGTGAATTCTAAACATCAGTTTGGAGAGAATAGACATGTTAGCAATATTGAGTCTTCCAACCCATGAGCAAGGTAAGTTTCTCATTTCTTTTAGGTTTTTATTAATTAGTCTCAGCATAGTTTTGTAGTTTTTGGTATACATATCTGGCACAAATTTTGTCAGGTTTATCCTTAAGTATATCCTGTTTTGTTCTATTATAAGTAGTGTTGCTTTTTAATTTCAATTTCTGATTAATTATTGCTAGTATATGGAAATATAATACAGGGTTTTTTTTTGTTTTTGTTTTGTATCTCAGCCTTGTATCTTGCAAATTTGCTAAAATCACTTAGTTCTAGTAGCTGTGTTTCTAGTTCCATGTCTGCTAATAATGACAAATTTTCTTTCTTTCCCATTTAGATAGCTTTTTTTTTTTTTCCTTACCTTATTGCAGTGACTTGATTAGAAGTAGTGAAAACAGACATCCTTGTCTGGTTCCTGATCTTAGGGGAAAGCACGAAGGCTCCTGTCATTAAATGTGATATTAGCTGTAGGCTTTTCATAGGTGTCCTTTAACAGGTGAAGAAGTTTCTTTTATTCCTAGTTTGTTGTGTTTATATCAGGAATAGATGTTGGATCCTGTCAAATGCTTTTTTTGTATCTTTTAGATGATCATATGGTTTTGTTAATATTGGGATTCAATTTTGAATGTTGAAACAATCTTGTGTTACTGGAATAAACTCCACTTGGTCACGATGTATTTCCTATTTTGTCTAGTATTGGATGCAATTTGTTAAAATAGTTTTAGAACGGCTCATCTCCATTCATGAGAGACATTGGTCTGTATTCTTCCTATTTTGTAATATCTTTGTCTCATTTTGGTTTTAGATAATTCTGATCTCAAAGAATGAGTTGAGAAACATACCTACCTTTGCAATTTTCTGGAACAGATGTTGTACAATTGGTATTATTTCTTCCTTTAATGTTTGGTGAAGCCATCTGAGACTGGAGTGGCTTTATACTACAACTGTAATTTCATTAATAGGTAGTGAACAATTCAAATTACATATTTCTTTTTGAGTTAGCTTTGGTAGCTTGTGTCTTTCAAGGAATTTGTTAATTTCCTAGTCATCAAATTTAGTGGTGTAAAGTTGTTTATAACAGTCTCTTATTTTTCTTTTAATAACTATAAAATCTGTAGTGATACCATCGCTCTCATTTCTGAGATTAGTAGCTTGTGCCTTTTTTTTTTCTTTTCTGATCAGTATGACTAGATGTTGATAAATTTTATTGCTCTTTCTCAGAACCAGCTTATGGTTTCATTGATTTTCACTATTGTTTTTCTGTCCACAACATTGATTTCTGCTTTGATCTTTATTATTTCTTTTTTCTCATTACTTTACATTTAATTTTTTCAGTTTTTGGTATAACCAACCATGATCCCTGGTGTACTGAACAAAAGAGGACAGGAATAAAAGACAAAGACAAAAGAGTATATTTGCAAGAAGGGGTCAGGGGCACCTTGCCTCTAGTGGGTAAGGGCCCTGAGCTTTTACAGTCCTCCATATTTATTAGGTAAAAGAGATAGCGAGAAAAGGAGGGGTAATTGTTGGGTAATTGTTGGTCTGCCGTTTGGTTCACAGGAGGCTTGCAAGACTGCATCCTTTGAACAATAGGCGCTAGATTTCCCAGTAGATAACTTCAAGGAGCCCGGTGCCAGGGAGTGATGGCCCTCAGCAAATCTTTTGGTGGCACGTGCAGTGTGAGTTTGCCCACATCCTGCATTCATGATAAACAGTTTGCTGTTTGATCATATAGCCTCCAGTGGAATGCTGAGTTGGTCATGATCCCTTTGCCGGCTCTCTACATTTTGGGTACTTTTTTAGTTTTTTTTTTTAAGGTGAAACTGAAGTAATTGAATTGAAGCTTTTCTTGGTTTTTAATATAGGTGTTTACCACCATAAAAATTTAAGTATTGATTTAGTGGCATCAATAAATTTTGATATCCTTTGCATTTATATTCAGTTCAAAATACATTCTAATTTTCCTTTTGATTTCTTTTTTGACTCATGAATTATTTGAAAGTGTGTAATTTTTAGTTTCCAATTTTGATGATTTCCAAAGATCTTTATGTTATTGACTTCTAATTGAATCTCACCGTAGTCAGATAACATATTTTCAATGACTTGCATTCTTTTAAAATATTGAGATTTATTTTATGCCCCTAAATATGGGCTGTCTCAGGAAATGTTCCATGATCACTTGAAAAGAACATATATTCTGCTGTTTTGGGGTGTAATGTTCTGTAAATATGAATTCCGTGAAGTTGGTTGCTAGTGTTGTTCAGGTCTTCCACATAATTACTGATGTTGTGTCTACCTGTTCTAGCAATTGTTGAGAGATGAGTGTTGACATGTCCAACTATAATTGTTGAGAGATCCAGCTCTAGGTCAAAATTCCAAATGTGATCCCATAGGCCTGACCATAGGCAACTACCAGGCAGCCTGCACAGGGGAGATGGGGGAAAGCTGCCCTCCCCACAGATTTGGTGCACAGCCAGGGCATTGCAGTGTCTGGCGGGAGCTGCAGTCAAGGACTCAGGCCCCGGAGCCAGGCCACACTTTTATGCATCTCTGCATTCCGAGCTCAGACAGCTCCACTCAGAGCTCTCCTTATAAGGGGAGCAGAGGCCTTCTGTTCAGAAGCCTCTGAAGAGACTTTCTTACCAGGATCCTTGAAGACACTTTCTTGCACTCAAACTCAGCACTCAGTACTTTCCCACTTCTAGTCCTTCCCTCCCCGTCCCATCCCTCCGGTCCCTCCCCTCTCCCTTTCTGTCTCTCTCTCTCAGTTTGACAGAGGAGCCCAGTGGTCCATTAAGCACATTGCCTTTTTGAAAAAACAAAAAGCCTGAAAGTCCTTCAGGGCATTCCTAGAGGTGCTGGTGGTTCATTTGTAAGAGTCTGAGGGTATCAAAGGGCACTTGACAACCATGCCACCGGGTCTCTGGGAGGTGCCAGTGGACCCCACAGGGCACCCTTAGAGTGTGCTAATGCGTTGTTTACAGAAGCTTTTCATTTCCGTGGGGGTCATTGGTCCTCAGCCAGGTACTGCTTGGGGTTCAACAGATCTGGCAGGTTTGGTACACTGTGACAAGACCCATGCCATTGAAAAACACGTCTGGATCCCCCTCGCAGAGGCTATAGCAGCCCCACAAGTTACCCTGCTAGCCCTCTGGGTCTACAATGAGGGGTTAGGGGAGGCAGAGGATGAGACTGTTCACCGGACTCAGATTTCAGGGATTTTTATGCCACCACTGTTAGTTATCAAGCTATCAAGCCCAAGTAAACCTCATCAGGCCAGCTCAGTCACTCCCAGATATAGTCCAGCGATTTTAACAAATCCCTAAGGCATGGAAAAAGTGGCTGCTTCCGAGAAAACAATGATTGCAGAAGCAATGAGGCAAAGATGACTATCAGGCGCCCTCTCCTGGACTATCTAGGCAATGGCATTTCCAAAATGCTCTCTGAGCCTGATTATTCAATAAAGGGGCTCTTAAAGGAGGAGATTGAAGCATTCCCCACCAAGATACCAGACCATGGGGGGCCCAGCAGGCAGCTCACAAGGGTTTGCATGGTGATAGCCCCTGTGACTGATTCAAGCGTTATGCTTGTTGTCGTGCCTCCCAGTGACTCTGGAGATGAGCTGAAGAGCCTCACCATCCTCTCCCCAGATGGCTAGGCTTTTACAGATTATCCAGACTAGGGGTTAGTTCGAGGTCCCTCTGCCCCAGGGATGACTGGAAGCCCTAGCCAATGTCAGAGTTCAGTGAAAAGGTGGGGGAAAATGTCCTTCTTGGCCATTTTGAACATCTGTGCACTGGTGCCTCTGATCCCCACAATCCCTGGCACCAGGATGAGGGGAAAACAGATAATGTTCTCTGGCTTAGGGTCTGAGACCACCACCACCTGCTCTGGCTCTGGGAAGGGACCTTTGGGCCCCTAGAAACCTTTATGTTATGGCTCCCATGACTGCATGTGTTCTTGGTACAGATGTGTTGTCTATATGTGCCCCCACTGGCCTTCACTCTCAATCCCTGATGGAAATTGCTGCACTTAGGGTCACCTTAGTGGGACATGGGAAAGGCTGTGAATGTACCCAACTACTGTCACCCAGGACATTGTATCCCCACCTGCTTTAGGGAGGAAAAATAACTGCTGTCATTATGTCACCAAAACATCAGTAATTCCATCTAGTTCCTTCTGTTCACTTCACAGAAAGCCAATCAGTGAGACAATGAGTATTGCAAAGATGAATGAAGGCTTTAATTGGGTGCTGCAGATAAGGAGATGGGAGATCAGTCTCAAGTCCATCTCCCTGACCAACAAAAATTAGGGGTTTATATAGCAGGGAAGAAATGTAACCATGTGTGGGGAAACAGGAATTAGGGAGAGGTGAGGAAGAGGAATTGGTCAACAGGAAGCAGGTGGTTGCTTAGGCCATCATGATGGGTGACGGGTTGGGTTTCTCATTGTCCAGATGTGTAGACCTGGTGGGTTTCAACTGCCTGATACTATCTGGGAGGACTGATGGTTGGCTTCCTGAGAAAGGAACTCAGATAACTGTAATTTTCTTGAGTTTTAAGACTGAGGGTTAATTTATATGCTTTTTCAAAAGAAACCAAAAATATTAGTTCTATGGGACAATTGGGCTGGTTTCAATTGCTAAGCTTGAGGCAAAGTTCCTGAGAAACTGTTCCTCCATACAGTGGCTCTGTCTGACCTGTGCACATGGCCTCAGGTACCTTGTGACCCTCTGTCTATTATAGGTGGCTCAAGGCTGTGGTGCCGTTCTTTGCATTGGCAGTACCTGACATTTTGATTCTTACAGAGGCTACTGGAGGGAACTTGGTGTGAGACAGTTGATATCATCAATGCCTTTTTCAGCATCCTCCCACATGGAGAAGTCCAGGATCAACTTGCCTTTATGTGGAATGGGTTGCAATGCACCTTTAATGTCCTTCCACAAAGCGACCTAAATTCCCCATGTAGCTGCCATCAATGAATAGGTTATGCTCTGGGGAGAGTTGCATGCCTAGAGGAAGTACTAGCCTTGCACTCTATTGATGACATCCTCCTGGTGAACCCAAACAAAGACATTGCCAAATAAGGACTGGGTGCTTGAGGACAGATGACTCTCAAGCAGCAACCCGACTGCACCATTAAGACACAGGGACCCCAAGTGAAGTTCCTGGTTGTAATCTGGGCAAGTGGCACCACATCTCGTTTAGAAGAGATGACTGCCAAGCTTTTGACTGTCTCTGCCCAGCCAATAAAAAGGATGCCCAGTGATTTGTGGGCTTATTCACTTACTATTACTGTCACATTCCCCTTGTGGGGATTTTGATGGGACCCAGCTAAGAGGTTACTAGAAAAGGCTGCTATGTTTGAATGGTACCCATTCAACAGGCTACCACAGCCATCCAAGCACCCTTCCCCTGGACCCCATGGATCCACATTTGCCATTTGACTTACAGGTCTCAACAACATTTCAGTTCCTTTACTGTTGCTCATAGTAGAAAAATACTTCAGACACTTGTTGGGGTTTTCAACTTACAAGATCCTGGAGTCAGCTGAAAGGCACATACACTTTGAGAAACAATTATTGTCCTCTTATTGGGCCTATGTAGATATGCATGAATACATGAGCCATGGCTGTGATATAGTTTTATGATCCCAAATTCCAATCATGTTATGAGTGAGCGGAGGCCTCAAATCTCCAGGTGGGGGTGGCTCAGGAGTATTCTCTAGTGAATGAAAATGTTCTATACAGAAGCAGGTAAAACCCAGCCCAGCTGGGGCCTTCAACTCCATGGCAAGGACTCAGGAGTGTCACCCCCCTCCCAGGCATATCATCCAATGAGCCACTGCCTTTACTTGCCCAATGGGAGCTCAGATACAAGGACCTTCTGGGCCACACATAAGCCTGGTTCACTGACAGTGTCTCTTGTTTAACATTTACTAGGCTAGAATAAGGTGCAGCTGTCATCCAGCCTGAGATGTATCTATCCCTTGGCAAGCTCAGCGTAAGTGTGCAAAGCTTTATAAAGTATGGTTGGCTACCCAGGCTCCCTCAACAAAGGAGCCCTGCTATATTTTCACTGACTCATGGGCTGTAGTTAATGGTCTGAACATTTGATTGGGCTACTGGCAAAACTGGTACTGACATGTGAAACACATCCCTCTCTTGGGACGAGACATTTGGATAAAATTCAATTCTACTCCTAATAAGCTCTTTGTTATCCTTGTGGGTGCTCACCAGAGAGCTGCCTATGCTGACAAAGGCAATGAGCCAACCAAGGCAATGAGCAGACCATGCATGTCAGCTAAACAGGGAGAATGATTTGTCATCTGCCCCAGAGATAACAGATATTCAACTCATTGACTCCTGGATCCATGAGAGGAAGGGCCCTGGGAATCAAGATGCCATCCTTGCCTGGATCTGTATGCATGAACTATTATCTTCAAAAGATGCCAACACAGCATGAAAGAGATAATCCATCTGCCAGACCCTGACCAAGGCTAAACATTCTGCTCAGGGACAGATCCTTCAGGTAAAAAAGGCCAGGATGTTCTTTGCAGGTTGATCACACTAGTCCCCTCATCCCATCCAGAGCGTTCAGGTGGATCCTAAATGTAGTTGATGAGTTCTCTGTATTTGGACTAGTCATCCCCATGTGTTTTACTGACTCAGGCAACACTCTTTATTCCCTCCAAAACCATATTTGTTTCTTTCTCTGGCTTCCTGAATACATTGTATCTAATAATGGCCCAAATGATACATTTGCAGCCCAAACTATACATGGGTCAAATCATGGGGCGTGATGGATTCTCCATCCTCTTTAACATCTACAAGCCACAGCAGTGATTACATATTTTAACAGGAAAAGATCAGGTTGAAGTGGCTAATGGAAATGGACAATATAATCCCAGCCTGGCTACATGTCTCAGGTGAGCAATTTGGGGTCTCACAGTGGCAATTCTCTAAGTGTACTTCTCATTTGTGCTGTGTGATTGATTGGGCTGTCTGTCTCTTTCCCTCAGTTGCCCACCCCTCTTTTAAAATTATTGACAAATCAGTTTCCATGGTGGATCATGCAAGTTCCCTTCATCCTTTTTGAGCCCTTCTTGAAGACCCAAATCGGTGGGAGATCAGGAAGGCTACTAAACAGCATAGATTGGGAGGCATGAACTTGCTTCTCCATTTACTCCCCGGGTGCAGTGCCTGAATTTTTGCCTACAAGGGCTTCAAAGATAATAACCATCAATTCAATGTCTCAACATTTTCCCAAAGGTGGCCCTGCTGCTTTGCTCTGTGTAGCCCCACTGGACACATGCCAAATATCAATTAGAAACTTTTATGGAACCACAGGAGAAACCAAGCCAGAATATTTAGGTTCATCATTCTAGGGAGTGAATTAAGGGCACTATTCTTGCTCATGGCATGGGACAGACTGCCCATGTCACAGTCAATGAGGAGTCTCCCCAACTGATAAGACATGAGCACCTTTGGTCCTGCGAACTCAGGTATGGGGCAAGAAGTGGGTGGGGATCTAACCTCTCTCCTCTCTCTCATGGGTAGTCTGTGTGACTCTGGCCTTACCAAATTCATTGGTAGGCCTAACTCTGGCAGCTGCTATCATGCTGAACTTGACTAGTAGTTGGATATGCCACTCACTGCTTGACCCCGTAGGTAAACCTTTGGCTGCCACGCCACTGAATAGCATGAGTGGACATTTCTCCAACTATGGAGCTTTCTGGCATCTCAGGTGCCCTAACACACCTGGACCCAATGTGTTACCTGATATGCAGACCCTGGTACTGTAGGAATGAAGTGAATTCCTAGTTGTCAACTCAATGCTGTTCCACATAGGAGCAACTGAGAAGAGGAGCCTGGGTCTGTAACTGGGTTATTTTGGCCTTGATGATGGTGACCCTCTCCCCTCCCCTCCCTTACCCTCCCACCTCCCCTCCCCTCCATTCCCCTCCTCTCCATTCCCCTCCCCTCTCCTCCCCTCCCCTCCCCTCCTCTCCTCTCCTTGTCCAGACTCTTCAGTTCCACTCAGGGACTCTGCCCACCACCTACCAAGAAGGACTTCTAGGGGGTTGAACCTCATGGTAGTCAGTGACTCTTACACTCCCAAACTGGTGTATACCCTTTTAGAGTATTATTTCTTTTCTAAACACCAGGCCTTTATCTTCCTTTTTGATCGCATTGTAATCTGCACAAATGGGGCATTAATAAGAAATTTTCAAATATTCCAAACAACCCCACCCAAGGAGCATGTTGCACCAGGCTGAATAAGGCATGAGCTCCAGAACCAAGCTCACCCTGGTTACTTCGGGGGTTTGCTGGGTGAGGGGCACTGCTGACTCTCTTTGCTCATGTGTATGCTCTGGGTGGTTTTTCCCACTGCTGGGGTCCCTCAATGAGAAAAGGTTGTGCACCTGTCTCTTACCATCACTAAAGTTATTAACAACACTACCTTAGTTCTGGAGACACAACAGATCAGCCTTAGCTCTTTGGTTTGAGTATTTGAGCAGCTGCATAGCCCTGGACTTCCTGCTGGCCAGCCAATGAGAGTCCGTGCCACTGTCAACACCTTGTGGTGCACCTGGATCAATGAACCTGACAAAGGAGAAGAGTCCAGCTCTCTAAAGCAGACTCTGGTGACCTTTGAAACATCTTGTCCTGGATTGGCAATGTTGGGGACTCATGGCTATGTTTAATCTTCCAAGAAGTCCTCATCATCCTTTTTGGAAAAATTTCAGTTATGAACCTGGTCCATTGCTGGCGCAGACTAATTACTGGGTTATTGTCATAATCCCACAAAATCCACTTATTTAGGACTATGATAGGGTCGGCTTTGTTTCTTTCAAGCATCCTGAAAAATTAAGATGTGAAGTTGAGCAGTACAACTTCAGGACAAAATCCTAAATGTGATCGTTCAGGCCCAACCACATGCAATTATGGAGATTCTACTCTTGGGGGAAATCTGCCCGTCTCCCACCAGACTTCATAGCTAGTGCTTTGTGATCTCGGGAGTGAGGCACCGTCAAAGGCTGAGGACCCTCTGGGCCAGCCATGCCCTGTGCCTACCTGTATTTCTAGCTCTGGCCCCTCCATTCAGAGGCCTCCTTATGGGGCAGCGGCTCAGCTGGGACACTGCCGAGACCTCCTTATTAGGGGGCCTGGAGATGCTTTTCTCCACTCTGTCTCAGTACTCAGTACTTTTCCATTATTAGCTCTTTCCCGTCCCCCAGACTCTAGCTCCAATCTCCCTCTCTCCCCTGCCATCACAAATGAATGAAAGCCTGACTGTTACTCTCCTATTTGGCTCACGGTCTTAGTGGACCACCTCAACACCTGGCAATTCTCTCTAATTGTGGACTTTTTGTCTTCACAGTTACATTTGGTTTTACTTCATGTATTTTGAATCTCTCTTATTAGGAGAGGAATAAAAATGTAGGATTGCTATGTACTCTTGATGATTTGACCCCCTTTATCATGATGAAATAACCTTCTTCATCTCCAGTAATATTCTTCACTCTGAGATGTACTTTGTTAGATATTATAGTCACCCCAGCTTTCTTTTGATCAGAATTGTATGTTGCGTATTTTACCTTCATTTACTTTTAACCTATTTTTATAAATGCAAAGTGAATTTCTTGTAGACAGTATATATTTGGATCTTACTTTTAACCAGTCTGACAACCTCTGTTTTTTAATGGAATCAAGAATGAGTATAAGGAAGTGAATTTTTTCATAATGTCCTAGAATTTGTGGTGATAGCATCACAACTCTGAATATACTAAAAATCACTGCTTTGCACATATTAAAAGGGTGCTTTTTAGTATGTGAATTATGTCTCAGTAAAACTATCGTTTAAAAAATGACACTGGGGACCTAAGGCACTACTGTAAGGAGGCATTCAATTTAAGGATTCTGCTCCCTTCCCCTTCCTCTCCCCTCCCCTTCGCCTCCCCTCCCCTTCCTTTTCCCCTTCCCATTTCCCTTTCCCCTTTCCATTTTCCTTTCCCTTCCCTTTTTTCTTTTCTATTTGTTTGTTTGTTTGTTTGTTTATTTTGAGATACAGTTCTGCTCGTTTCCCAGGCTGGAGTGCATTGGAGTGATCTCTGCTCACTGCAAATTCTGCCTCCTAGGTTCAAGCAATTCTCATGCCTCAGCCCCCCAAGTAGCTGCAATTACAGGTGCCCACCACCACACTCGGCTAATTTTTGTATTTTTAGTAGAGACAGAGTTTCATCACGTTGGCCAGGGTGGTCTTGAACCCCTGACCTCAGGTGATCCGCCTGCCTCAGCCTCCGAAAGTGCTGGGGTTACAGGCATGAACCACCACGCGGGACCCCTGCTTTCTCAACTTTTGTACCCTAGGCACCTGCTTGTCTCGCCCTAATCCAGGCTCAAGTGATAATGCACTGATTCTGGCTACTTTGAAGGGCATCTACTGGGGCACAGGTCTGAGAAACGTTTCTACTTCAGAAAGTCATTTGTTCTGTTCTTTTCCTCTGGACATCTTGGCCTGGACGTGAAATACTTCCAGTTGCCGAGGCCCCTTGTGACCAACCTGAGGATGAAGTTGGGGCAGTGAATGATGGCAGAATGTGAGTCTCTGATGACATCATGGGCTGCTGAGTCAGTCTGAAGCCCGCCTTGCTTCTGTACACCCCTGATAGAGGACGTAGCAATGTCCCCAGCCACCCGTTGTCTGAGTCAGGCAGTCTGCACGTGTTTCTGTCATGTGCAGCCCAGGGACAGGGACAGAACCGCTCACACCCCAACCCCGCGGCTGCAGCGCCAGTGGTGGAAAAGAGCTCAGGTGTCAGGAGTAAGGACACCTGGTTCTGTATATGGGGTCAGGACTGCTACTAATTACTTGTGGCACACATCATTTTCCTTTCAGGTGAGTCCCTGATACATGTAAGAAATAAAGACCCAAGGTTCCTCTCTACTCCGAAATGGGAATCGGTCACCTCCCTTTGCGTGCTTGAAACAGAAAAGCCCAGGGTCCCAACTTCTCTTGCCTCACCTCCAAAATCCCCTCTATCTAACAGCCCAAGGCGTGAATGAGTCCTTTGCACCACCAGCTTCCCCTGGGTTTTGGCCTCCAGTTAATTTCAAGACACTTTCCCTTTTAGAATCTTTTATTTTGGAGTCCTCCTTGCAAGAGCAGGAGGAGAGTGCGCTCAAGCCAGCCCTGGGTCCCCCGCGGGGCCCTCGCGCGCGGTCACCCACTCTTCCCACGGCGGGGTGAGGCCCTGGAGAAGCCCCGGAGGGTGGGGGCTGGGGAAGGGGCGTCAGCCGACCCTGCCCCGGGTCCCCCACGCGGCCCTAGCATCTCCCAGGAGGCAAGGACTCACCCCGACCTCGGGTCCACCCTCGGCACCAACCCGTGCCCCGCCACCGCCTGCGGTTGTGCCGTTTGAGAAGGAAGGCAGAAGGTCCCCACGCCGGTGGGGCCGGGATAATAAGGTCTGTGGGTGTCTGCAGGACCGAATGGAAGCCCGCTGCACGCTCAGCCCCCAATGCCCTGGAGTCCTGTGTTCTTGTCCGTCTGCCCGCATTTCCACCTCCTCTCCTTGCACTCTCTTCTCACACACCTGCCTGCTGACACCTGGCATCTCTCTTCTCAGAAAAGGTCCTGCTAAAACCAGCACTCCAAATCCACGTTTAAGTGCAAGCACTTCTTGTCCCTCCTAATTCTTTTATTCAGTTCCACGTTGTCGAGCCCCCTTTTCCCCAGCACTGTTTCTGATGCTGAGGTGGGGCCACAGGGACCGACTTCAGAGAGTTTGCCCGGTCAGGTAGCTGCCAATCACAGGAGTAATGACAATGCAGTGATTGATGGGTTAGGCTGAGGAAGTGCAGGTGGGAAGGAGTGAAGTGGGGACCGTCTCCAGGGTAGGGACTGGGGAAGCCGCTGAGGCAGAGAAGTTGAAGTAAAGGCATAGATTATGTGCAAATTCTGTGCCATTTTATACCAGATACTTGAGCACCGGTGGATACTAGTATCTGTGGGAGGTCCTAGAACCAATCCCCAATGGATACTGAGGGACAACTGTGTGTGTGTGTGTGTGTGTGTGTGTGTGTGTGTGTGTATTATAAGAAATTGGCTCATGCAATTATGGAAACTGAGAAGTGCTAAGATCTGCAGTAAGCAAGCTGGAGATTGAAGAAAGCTGGTGGAGTAGTTCCAGCCTGAATCTGAAGGCCTGAGAACCTGGAGAGCTGGTGGTGTAAGTTCCAGTCAGAGGGCAGGAGGAGACTGATGCTCCAATTCCAGTGTCAGACAGGTGAAATTCCCTCTTACTCAGACATTTTGTTGTACGCAGGCCTTTGGTTGACGGGAGCGGGGCGAACCACATTAAGGACGGCAGTCAGCTTTATTTGGTGTACCAATTCAAAATGCCAATCTCACCCAGAAATACCCTCACAGGCATACCTAGCATAATGATGTTCCAAATGTCTGGGCACCCTGTGGCCCAGAAAAGTTGATACATAAAATTAACCATTGCACATTTTAAAATTATGTTCTATTTGGCCTCTGGAGGATAGGACACACTCTCTCACTCTGACATGGTATTGCTCTCCTAGTGTGTATTGATTTCTTCTTTAAAATAAAATAATCTCTTTTTAAAGGAAAAACGTTATGGAGTATTTGAGAAAACTATTTTACCTATATCTTTTTGGAGATCAGAAGACAATACTGGTAATTTTAAAGTATTTTTTCAGGAGATAAATTTTCTTAAATACAGAGGAAGACATTGACCAGAGTTTCCAGCCACTCGTCATTAAATTAAAAAACCTGGCACTCAGTATTTGCTTAGAATGGCTAACAGGCTTGTTAAAAAAAAAAAGCCTTAAAAATTCCTCTCAGTAAGTTGAATTGATAGAAAATAAAAGCAGTATAGAGAATAGGAAAAAAGCCCTAGAGAACTTGAGAAATTTATGGCAATCAAATAATTACAATACCTATATTTTGAATTATTTCCAAATTAACTACTTCTAAAATTCACTTACTAATCTGTGGTTATTCATGGTTTGGCATATACCTATTTATAAACTGTGACATTTTAACATTTAAAAGATTATGATAAGATCACTTTTAAGAGAGAGATATATATTATTTTAAATAAAAATTATATTTTTATATTTCAGAGTATTTGGAAATTTGAAAGCTTGCTGATTTTTATTTATTTTTACCTATTTATTTATGTTCATTTTATCTGGCAATGGTGCCACATTGAACATTTTTCTCTACAGAAACTTTTAAGGAATCCTTCTGTTGTTTAGTGTCATTATCTCCAAGAATATAACAAACTCTCATCTTGTGCCTCCTAACAGGATACACTGAGAAGCACTAGCTTCTTCTGTGACATTCTTGCCAACATTCTCAGCACCTGAATGTAAGTGCAGAAACATCAGACAGAATTGAATTGAGGGATATTCTACCAAATAATTGACTGAAACTCTACAAAAGAGGCAATGTCATAAAAGACAAGCACTGCGGAGGTGCCACAGGAGGATGTGTGATAACTAATTGCAACCTGCGAGTTTCTTTGGGTCCCACAAAAGACCTGAATAAATACAAAAGAAGACATTCAAATGTCCAAGGAGGAAATAAAATAAAAAGATTTGATTATGGTAGTTATCAAGACGTGCATATGAAATGCACAGTGAAATACCGCCACAAGTATACCAAAGAAGGTAACATTAAAACTACTGACAACATCAAGAGTGGGCAATGATGTAGAACAACTGGAATTCTCCTACATTTTTGTTGGGAATAAATTAGTAAAGACACTTAGAAATTGGCAATATCTACAAAAGCCTAATAGTGTTGAAGCAAACATTGCACTAAACGAAGTTAAGCATATCCTATAGTCTGAATGCTGTCTTCCACCAAAATGTGTATGTTGAAACCCAAAGTCCAATGTGTCAGTATTAAGAGGTGGAACCTTCGGGAGGTGATTAGGCCATGAGGAAAAAGCCCTCATAAATGGGATTGATGTCCTCATAAAAGAGGCCCCAGAGAACTACCTTGCCCCTCTGCCATATGAGTATGCAGTGAGAAGGTGCCATCTATGAAGCAGAGAACAAGCCCTCACCAGATATCAAATTTAATGGCACTTTGATCTTGGACTTCCCAGCCTCTAAAACTAAGAAAAAAAATTATGTTGTTTATAAGCTACCAAATTTATGGTCTTTTGTTTAGCAGCCTGAACAGACTAAGACAGCCTATAAGGAAGTGTTTATTCAATGCTATTACTGTAGGGGAGAGAGACCAGAACATAGTCTGTGCTCAACTTCACTAAAACAAAGGACTGGAGAGTTTTTGAGAACTGGGGTGGATATTAGGACATGTGGGTTTGCTATTTGGCCTTACCTAAAGGAAAAGTAAGTTTTCTCACATCTTCCTGGCAGAAGGTAGTTTTACAACTCCAAGCAAGGTGCCCACTGACATTAGTCTCCTACCCTCCCACAGAAACAGGGAAATAAGACGCTATCTTCCTTGTGATTTTTGAAACAGCTCCCAGGTCCTTAGGAAACAGTCCTGCATTGAAAAATTGTCAGGAGGCTTTTAAAAAGATTTACATGTCCAAGGAACAGAGAAATCATTCACAATGACAAGTTTTCTGAAGTCAGTGCTCTGATAAAATGGCCATGTGGTTAGGTCATCTGGATTCCATAAGGACTGGGGTGAGAGGGAGATCAGGTGCCTAGAGGCAAGAAGAGACCTATTTAAAATATAGTCAAACTGAGAGAAGGTTAAGGCTGCCTTAGTACATAGGTATATTCTGTGGCCGAGTGTTATGGCTTGAATTTTTTTGTTTCAAATTCATTTGTTGAAACTCTAAACCCCAATTTGATGTTATTCAGAGATGGGGCCCTTGGGAGGTAATTTGAATTATATGAGGTCTTGAGAATAGGACTCACCATGATGAGATTAATGCCCTTAAAAGAAGAGAGACTAACACACCGAGGAAATGCCATGTGAGGACACAGAGATGGCAGCTGTCCACATCCCAGGGAGAGGGTCCTCTCCAGAACTCAGACATGCTGGACCTCTGATTGCCAACTGCCAACCTCAAAAATGCAAACCAAATTTCTCTTATTTAAGCCACTCAGTCTGTGGTATTGTATTATGGCAGTCAGAGACGATGGAAGTAGAGTGGGGTAATTGACTAGGAGTCTGGAAATACTCTATATCTTGATTTGGTGGTAGTTACATGGATTAAAATTATTAGCTATTATTTTGAAAGTCACTAGGTGTATACTTATGACTAGCATACTTTGTGTAAGTTCTAATTCAATGAAAAAATAAAGTAAAATAAAAACGTTTGGGGTACAGCTAAAATGGAACTTCATGAGAAATTTGTAGATTTTGATGCCCATGTTAGAGAAAACAAGGCTAAAAGAACCTATGCATCCAACTTAATTAGAAATGTGTAAGTAGAATAAACCCAAATGACTCAGAGGAAAGAAAATACAAAAAATAAAAGAAGATACTTATGAAACAGCAGATAAATTATATAATAGAGAGGATCTACAAAATGAAAATCTGATTCTTTGAAAAAGTAAAATAACCTCCAGAAAGATTAACTGCAATGAAGAAAATACAAGATTGTACAGATAAAAAAGAGTAAAAATGAAAACGGAGACATAATTATAGATGCAGCTGAGATTACAATATAATAATACTATAAACAACTTTATGTCAATATATTTGAAAACCTAAGAGAACCAGAAAAGTCTTCAAGATATATAATTTACAAAACTAAACTTGTAAGGAAAAAAACAACCTCAATAAGCCTATAAACATTTAAAAAATTAAACCAAAAATTTAATGTTCTCCCATAAAGAAAACACCAGTTTCGGATGATTTTACAAGTAAATTTCAGCAAACGAAAAGAAAGAGATGATCTACATTTACAAAAAGAATATCTTGCCATTATTTTTAAAATAAAAGCATACTCTTCAACTGATTTTATAAAGCTAATATAACTTTGATACCTGTGTTAGTCCTTTCTCTCACTGCTGCTAGAAATACCTGACACTGGTAATTTATAAAGAAAAGAGGCTTAATTGACTCATGGTTCTACAGATTGTACAGGGGAGGCTTGTACAAGCTTCTGGGGAGGCTTCCAGAAACTTAAAATCATGATGAAAGGTGAAGAGGAAGCAGGCACGTCTTACACGGTTGGAGCAGCAGGAAGAAAGGGAGGAGGTGCTATACTCTTATACAATCAGATCTCGTGGTAGGTTGCTCACTCTCATGAGAACAGCACCAAGAGGGAATGGGCCCCCATGATCCAGTCACCTCCCACACGGCCCTACCTCCAACACTAGGGATTGCAAGTTGACATGAGATTTGGGCGGGAACACAGACCCTATCCGTATCAATACCAAAACCAGAGATAAACTGTACAAGAACACAACATCAAAAGCCAATCTAAACTGATGGATAACAGACATGTTCTTAATTAATATTTTATTACTTAATTTTTAATTAATTGTGACAAATCAAACCCAACGTTATTATAAGAATATTATATGAAAAGTATTTTGTATCATGAAATGTAAGGTTGGTGCAACATTTAAAAATAAATTTTTATGTTTAACCATGTTGGCAGGTTAAATAAAATGAAGGAATTGCTCAATCACTTCAAAAGGTGTAGAACAAAACATTCATTAAGCTTTAACACGTATTCAGGAGAAAAATTCTTAATAAACAAAATAGAGAGGGGATTTCCAGTACTTTTTTTTTTTTGAACACAGTCTCACTCTGTCACCCAGGCTGGAGTGCAGTGGTGCGATCTTGGCTCACTGCAACTTCCACCTCCCAGGTTCAAGCGATTCTCCTGCCTCAACCTCTTGAGTAGCTGGGATAACAGGTCCCTGTCACCATGTCAGCTAAGTTTTCTGAAAATTTTTACTAGAGATAGGGTTTTACCATGTTGGCCAGGCTGGTCTCGAACTCCTGAGCTCAGGTGATCTGCCCGCCTTGGCCTCCCAAAGTGCTAGGATTACAGGCGTGAGCCACCATGCCTGGCCCAGTACTCTTATTCAGTAGTGAACTCTAGGTTTTGGCCAGAACAGTATACAAAAGCATAATAATTTGAATAAGAAAACAAAATCATATTCCTAGATTATATGATTATATGACTGCATCACAAATAACAGAGAATTATTAAATTCTCTATTATTCAAATATATTCAAATTATTCAAATATTATTTAAATTATAAATTCTTCAAATATAATTCAAAAACAATTTTAGCATAGCAGATGAAAATCACTATAGGTTATACACTAGAGCCTAAATACTAGTCAGATGCTGGGGTTCAAACTCCAGTCTTGCACTTGCTAGAGATTGTAGAGGGGTGAATTAATGAACCCTCTCAGTGCTTCAGTCTCCTAATCTGAGAAGTGGTTATGATAACAGGACCTAGTTCATAGAGTTGTCGAGAGTATCTAATCAGTATATAAAGAGATTAGCTCAGGACCTGGTACGGTAGAACACAGCATACTATTAGTAACTATCATTATTATACAAGAGCAAGTTGCATTTTTATGCATCTAAATAGCAATAGTTAGAGAATGTCATTAAATTTGCACTAACCCCAAACCATAAGATTCTTAGGAATAATAATTAATAAAAAATAAGCAAGATTGTTATGTTGAAAATTGTCAAATGCTATAGAATATCATTAAAGATGACCAAAATAAATGGAGCTATTTCATGTCATTCATAGAAAGGCCTTGAGTTGAAAAGTTGTCAGTTCTCCCCCACTTGTCTTATTGATGCATTGTAATTCTAGTCCAAATCCTAGCAATGTTTTCTGTGGAATTTGAAACATGTATTTAAAATTTTATATAAATAAGCAAAGGGCCAAAATAACCAAGACACTTCTAAAGAAAAAGATCAAGTTGAGAAGATTTGCTTTAGCAGACATTAAAACTTATTATAAAACTCTTGTGATGTAGCGTGGTGTGTACACAGGGATAGACAAACAGATCAATGGCACAGAATAGAGAGCTGAGCTCAGAAGCGTAATTCTCTTCATATGTGGAAATGCTAGATGATAAAGAACTGGCATTAGAGATCCGCAGGGAAATGATAGTGTGCTAGGAAAACTGATTTTTCTTATGTAAAAGATGAAAACAAAAGAATTGCTGACAACCCATTTATGCCAGAAGCTGCAAAATTTTTTTTGTGAAAAATTAGACCTTGATGATGACCTTGAGCAGTTAGATATCAATAATGCCCGCAAGCTTAGCATTCCAATAATGGGACACTAGGCATAAATGGGCTAATAAATGCTAAAAAAATTAAAGTTCTACTGGAAAATATGGCAAAATAATTTATAACCTTAGTGAAGTGAAAGATTTTTGTCATATATTTGAAAAAATCAACATTAAAATACATGTATTTAAATTACTTTAAAAATATATCATAAAAATTATAAAAATACAAACACAAACTAAGAGATGAGAGTTTAACACATTTAACCATAAAAAGATAATTATCTTAAATATAAAGTATTTCCATGAAAGAATCTGTAAGAAAAAGGCAAACAACCACATTGAAAAATAGACAAAGATCTGAACAGCTACTTCACAAGAGAAAATAATAAAAGGCCAATGATCAATATCACTAATAAGAAAAACTAAAATAGAAATTAGAGAATAGACTCACATTTTAAAAGTCCGTTGATACCAAATCTTGGCAAAGATCATTACACAGTCCTTGCACATGGCTGGTGGGAACAGGCATTGGTCAAACCACTTAGGAAAATGATCTCGCATAACTTAGTAAAGCTAAGATATTCTACTCCCAGTTAGAAACCCTAAAGAAGCTCTTGCATATATGTTCAGAAGACATGCAAAATCATGTTCATAGCAAGAAAAATAAATATAAACAATAAACAATGAATCATTCAAAGGAACAAATGACATTGCACCATACAGTAGAATCAGAGTCATCATCTTGCTCAGTTCTGGTGTGCTGTTCCCATAGTCAGCACTATTCATATAGAACACAATGTTACTAATACTGTTGGGAGGTTGTACAGCTTTGGATGGAGTACCACACATTATGGAAAATTAAATAATAAGAGCTACCAACATAAAACATCATGCAGAGCAAAAATAGCAGGTGTCAATTCCTTTTGTATAAAATCCAGGAATAGGTAAACTGATCATTATGTTTTTTAAGGTGCATATATATGGCAAAGGCATAATAAAGTAATTATTAACAGAAAATACAAGATAGTATTAAATCTGGGGGAAGAAAAGAATGTGATCCATCAGATCAATAGGAACTCCAAAGTCATTTTTGATCTTCTGTTTCTTAAGCTGGGTAGTGGATATTAGATGTTCATTCAACTTTCTCTCTCTCTCTCTCTCTCTATATATATATATATATACACACACACACACACACATTGTTTTATGAGTATGATGTATTTCACAATAAAAATAAATTTAACAAAACAATGAACAAATTATGGTGTAAGAGGATGTGACAAGAACTAAAATCAGCTAAGGGA